CCATTAACAAACCCCCTACTTCCCCTACGGGAGGCGGCTATTGTAGTCGCAATGCTGTGGTCCATAAGTTAACCCAAAACATTTATCACAAGAACAAAATAATGTTTATGTTAAAAGACTTGTGGTTGCACAGTGGGTATAAAGTTTACTTATTGGATTAGACACATCTCAGTCATCTGTTGATCAAGAATGGTGGCCAGGCTGATGTCACACTAGCCTGTGTACAACAGCTCAAAGTACCTTTTTTCTTGTGAAACTGTACATCGCTAACTTCATTTATACCACATACATAAACTGCAACAATTGCTAACACCTTCATTATTTCATTAAATAATCACAGACAAGATTAATTCTATTTTACTCTTTCACCTACATATCAGACGTGTCCAGCCCCCTGCTGATAAACACAGCACTACATGCACGTGTGTCTTCTTGTGCCTTCTATCGTCTTACCTGACCGGTAGAAACATTTGACGGCGTAGCGGTCCGAGGTGCTATGCCTCCTTGGGCCTGAGCCTGCATCTGGGCCAGAGCCTGCTGAGGAATCATGAGCAGTTGTCCACTCTCACTGCGTACGAGCACCATCCCTAAAACAATGTGGAAGATACTTTATACAGCTTTAAAAGTATTCAAAAATTGCTTCGCAGATTCAAAGTTAACTGCACACAGTTGAATAAAAACATAATGTTGTCAATATGACTAAATAAGTTATGAGAGTGTGATATGAGGGTGATTGTGGCACATTGTTATCGTGAACTCAAACAGCAATAACTGCTCAGTTATTCTTCAAATAAAGTTCATAATCTGTAGATGGCAGTCCAGTTCATTGACAGTTCCGTGATGGTGATAAAAGTGAGAGAGTTTTTGAACCACAACACAACAGGATCATTTACCTAAGTTCGTATTGCAGAGATGTGCCTTACATTTATAACAGTAGTAACAACTTAAAAAAAAAAGTCCTCACTTACCCGGGGGCAGCTGAATGTTATGTATGCTGGGCTGTCCTGGGGAAGTCTGGGGGAGTCTTGGGGCCAACATCTGAGGCGTCAGAGTTCGGATCCCACCAGGACTGGCGGTTACTGTGGCTGGACTCCGGGGCGTGCTTACGGCCCCTGGGGTAACAGTCGTCTGCAATGCCGACTGTATTAACGTCGTGGGCGGCTCTGCCTTGATAATGTGCGGTCGTGCGCTAACAGTCACAGAAGTGGACGACTGACCGTTGTTTACAAGCGGAGGTTGAGTGCCGACAACTGACTGCAATGCCGTGTTGGTGGCCGTCACAACGATATTATTTCCGTTCAGAGTTGTGGTGTGCACAGGCGGCCTGACCAGTGTCACGGTGGGTCCCGTCGTCTGGCTTGCAGGCTGAGTTGAAACCACAACACTCTGCGAGTTCATAAGAGGAGTCTGGATGACACTGTTTGACGCGGGGGGCATAATTGGACCGGGCAGCCCTTTACTGGACAACACTGATCCACTGTTGACAGCTGCTGGACCGCCACTGTTAGCACCGCCACTCGTCACTGTTCCCCCGTGAGGGGCAGCAGCGCTTCCTGGATCGTGAGAGTTCATAGTTTGGCTCCCATTGAAAGTCTGCACTAAGTATGAGCCTACTTTCCCCTGGTGATTTGGGAGAGATGTTGCACCGCCACCATCAACAAGTGCTTTGCCAGGGTCACATCCAGTGGTGGAGTCCGCGCTGGCCGTCGTTGAGTCCATAGTTGAACCATGGGGACCTCGCTGTGTATGATGAGACCCCCAGAGCTTCAACTTGTTCGGAAGGAGCACAAACAATCTTGCGTGTGATGTGAAAAGACTCTGACACTTTCACTTGCTACTCCTGTCAACTCTTGCTTACTGTTTTCGACACAAAGAGGGAGAAAAACACAAGTATTTTACAGCGTACCTGTTTAAACAATCGTCTTGACCAAGTAACCCGCTGGACATTAGCTCGCGATACCCACTTGTCCCGGAACTAAAACTATGTAATAACCGGCTGCTTCGCGCCTAACCCAGTGGTTGTTGTGACACAAGAAAAACACTTTTGACTCAACAGCCCGGACAGGATGACAAACTACCGCTTTAGTCACCTCTGTGTGTAAAAACAAATTGTCCAACGGACCAGGTCGAACCGCCATCTTCGCACTCCTGCGAGCTTATGAGAAGTGAGGTACTTACCAACAAAGATGCGCATGCGCAGAACAGCTCGACGTCTCAGTGCGGGGGATTATGGCGCACTGTGATTGGTTGCCAGTCATTCTAAAAGGCGGTACCAATGGCTTCAGCTGTCATTTCGAGGGATGCACGACATGGAACAACATCGTAGCGGAGAATTAACATTTCTGTCAAATTTTACGCTGCTTTCGAGGTGTTTTTGCCATTTGAATATATGGCCTGATACAGTATCGAAGCGAATAACTTTTAGTGAAGAGATAACGCAGTTTTCGACAAACTAACCACCCGGAATTGAGACTTGACTCACTCGCGATGAGCCGTGCAAGATGGCTGCACTGTTTTGGTCAGCGAGTGAAGTTGCTGTTGTAAAGAGGCGTTTGAGGGCGCCCCACCCTTCACTGATAGGAAACGCTCTGCTGTCAGCCTGTCATGGGATTTACTGTAGTTACACTGTCCGTGTACTCACTTTCAAACTAATGCACGGAGCAAACTACAGGAAGTGTGGTTAATGTTTGCAAATTCACAAACGGCTTTTGGAACCAAAGTTTTAAGTATAGTTTTAACGTCCATCCATCCGGTTTTATAAAATAAAACAAGTTCTCAAAATTCCCAATTTAAAACGTGGATATGTTTTGTTTTATTTGATCTCTTTGTAGCAGTAAAGGTTGAGCATGACCAAAACATTTAGAATAATATGGTTAATAGTTTAGAGAAATACATATTTTAGTATATAAAATAGACTAATTAACAAAAATAACAATTACAATTATATAATTACAATTATATAGAAAAGAAAACTAAATAGTGAAAAATATACACGTATTTTAAAAATATAAAATATGTCAAGAATTTATACATGTTAAAAAACCATGTTTATAGTAATCATGTATAATTGAGGGTTTATATATTAGTGTAATGTTTATTTGCTCCATTATAACTGTAAAATAAATATTTTTATATAAAATATCTTGTCCACCATATAGGCCAGTTGAAAAGCTTTTTCTGTTAAATCAACTATTTGTATTAATACCTACAGTTGTATTAATACCTACAGTTCTGTAGGTACTGTATTATTGCGTTATTATTATTCGATGTTACTATCTTAACCTTGCGCATTCTGTAGGTACTGTATTTAAAAGTGCAGCGTTAATAAAGCGTTTTATTTTTTAAGGGTTTGGGGTGATTTCCTCTTTGTCAGACAACTCTGCACAGACTCAGGCGTTCCCTCAGGCGGTATACGCGGCCAAACAAAACAAACGAACCCTAGATTAAACGCAGGTGAGCGCAGCGTCAGCGCCAAACATAAAACGCACAGGTGTGGGTTAATTATATACAATACTGAAGAGCTGGGAAGGTGTGATGTTTTCTTTGCCAACAATTTGAAGACAGTTACACTTTAAAAATGAACACTGGAGCAGGGACGCCTTACATCGGCAGCAAAATAAGTTTGATATCAAAGGCACAGATTCGTTATGAAGGAATATTGTCCTCTGTGGACACAGAAAGGTCCACTGTTGCTTTAGCAAAAGGTATGTTAAAAGAAACAATTTAAACCTTCATTATAATCAACATGATGTTAATGGTTGTATTTTATTGTAGGTTGTGCCAAGTTTGAACAAGGCCACACCACAAGCTGAATTTTTACATAATTCTTATTTTTACAGTAAAATCCTATGGGACTGAGGACCGACACACTAACAGACCTGTGCCACCTAAAGATGAAATTTATGAATACATAATTTTCAGAGGAAGTGACATTAAGGATATCACTGTCTCTGAGCCCCCAAAACCACACCATGGGCTCCCACTAGACCCTGCAATTGTACAGGTGAATTAATGACAAAAACTCACTAAAAATTATATTTAAATTTACTAAATAAGATGTATGGTAATGATAGTCAATACCTAATCCACTGGACATTTGTTCTCACCTGAAATTTTTTGAACTTTTTATGCATTCTATGCACTATTTTCTGGACCAATTTTAAGATTAAACTGCGTGTAACACTTTTAAAATTTTAAATATATTTCAATGGAATATTTGAAATCTTTGTAAATGAGAAATATGTTTTTTTTAAATAATTATTTGTCAAAATTACTAGCAGTTTTGTCTAACCTACATGTCACTTGTGGTTTGAATTGTGATACTCTATCTTAACTGGTGTGATTGCAGTCCTCTATTGGCAGTTCCTCTGCAGCATATCACCCACGATGGAATCCTTACAGAGACTTTTCTGCCTACAACCAGTTGGCTGCCAGTTCTCTACTCAACCAGCAGTACAATGCAGCACTTGGTCTCGGTACAGTAAAAACAAAAAAAATTACAGTAGACTTCAGCTTTTACCAGTTCTTGTAATGTTGCCTGCAGTTAATCCCTATAACCATCTCCCTAGTACCAGGTTTTCATGGCCTCCCAACGAGAAGAGGTCCCATGGTTGAACAGGCAGTCCAGACCGTGCCGTTGGCCACTGCTGTTCAGAAGAAGATCAAGGTTCCTGCTCAGCCTCCGAACAGACAGCCTGTTCGCTCAACTCAACAATCTGTTCGTGAAAGTTCCCAGCTTCAGAAAGAAAATGTCCTGAACAGTGAGTGTTTTCACTCAATCCTAGTATTTAATTAATGACTAAGTTTTCTTATTAACACAAAACAAATGCATATAAATTTAACTCTGTAACTGTTTAGGTCGGGCAGCACCTCAGGCTTCTGCAGCCAAGAGCCAGATTCCAAGCACTGATAGCCAGAAAAAAAGGCAAAAAGAAGATAAACAAGGTGTTTTCATAATTTCAATTTTTTTTCCAATGTTATTGCGAAACCAATTTTAGAATTAAGGGGAAATTTGTCTGTCTGTCTTCATGGCTGTACGCAGGTAGTCGCAGACCCAGGAACCGCAGCAGAGGTCAGCTCATTGTCAAAAACTCAAAGGCTACGACTTTGCAGTTTGACTCTGATTTTGACTTTGAAACAGCGAATGCTCAGTTTAAAGATGACCTTACAAAAGAAAAAGAAGTCACAGGTATGAATCTTTTAGTTCACTAAGTGCTCTGCCTGCATTGGTCATGGTAAATGACCATGTACACTTTCTCTTGGTGTGTTATTACAGCTGAAAAAGTAGAGTCAGCCAAAACTCCAGAAAGTCAAGATATGGAAGAGGTGGAGACTCCTGGTGACAAATACTATGACAAAGCCAAATGCTTCTTTGATAACATCTCATCGGACCTTAAACCCAGGTGAACAGGTTCACTTGTGTTTGATTCTCTGTGCAATTCTTTTTGTTGTCTAAATGTATCACTGTTCCCTCAGGAGAACCACATGGGCAGAAGAGAAGAAGTTGAACATGGAAACGTTTGGTGTTACCGGCCGCTTCCTCAGAGGCAGAGGCTTCAGAGGCCGGGGACGTAGAAAGGAGAACACTGTCGACCCTCGACCCCTCAAAGTTGGCAGTGGAAGGGTCTGAATGTTTTGTTCTTGTAAATAATAGTCTTTTTGTACTAAATTAAGAAGTACCTCCCTATTTTCTACATTTGTTTTTTTTTTTCTAATTATCCTAAATGTAGTTTAGTCTAATTTAAACTGGGAGCTGTTTATTTTAGATTGAGCATGATTGAGCATAACTGCAAGATTTTTTTTTTTTTATTCTTTTTTTTTTTTATTCTATTAAATAAGTATATTAGACTGTCCAAATCTAACTCCAGTTTGTTTGGTCTTAATGCCAACTGGACAGCTGTGCTTTATGTTCCCCCTACTTGTAATGTAAGAACTGGAGAACCTTAAAAGTTGCTATTAAATAATGTAAACCACTTTTTTGCCATGTTGTAATTGAAGTCACAGTACGGCACCAACACAAACCTGCAGACTTTTCTTCTGCTCACTTAGCTAAATACATAGTACTGGAACTGTTGTTTATTTATTGTTTTTATTTTTATTTTTTTTAGTTTTGGCAAATGGAAGCCAGTTGGTTAAACTTGGAGTCCAGTTCATTTAGTGCTTTCTCCAAGGAGTCGTCATCGGAAATTGTAATGGTCTCCAGCTCTGAGAGAGTGTCCAACTCTCCTTCATCCGCATACAGATAAGGCTCATAGTCCAGCGGTTCGTCTTCTATCTCCTGAAGAGTAGTTAACCTCTGACGTATAAGGGGAAAAAAAAAAAGCAAAAAAAAAAAACGCTTCGTCTTTAATGCACCAGGCTTTGTTAAAACTATATATCTTTGTGTCTTCAAGTTACCTGTTGCAACACTGCGACAACAGTGTCATCCAGTAAATGGTTAAATTTTCTCTGGGTGAAGAATTCCATGTCTTTATGCTTAAAATGACATACAGATATTATTTCTCTAGCAGCTGCAAAACGGTACAACACAAAAGAAGGAACTTCTCCCACCTGGTGGGTGTTGTAGTGATTGACTGCAGAGCTCCAGGTTCCCTATGATCAGAAGAGAGGGGGGGTTAAAATCAAATGTATATGGTTACAGTGTGTGACTTATGACTTGATTAAAGTGTATTAACCTGTTTAGTGTTGGTGAAGATGTGCAGCTCATCTTCTTGTCTGTACATTCCCTGCATTACAGATCTGCCTGGGCTGCTTTTCTTTACAGTCTGTCAAAATGCAGACCATGAATTTGTCAAATATTTTCATAATGGAATTATTAGCTGTATATTCAAAAGCACCCACTGTAGGAGAAAAATGTTTTTGCGACCCATCACTCAGACCAGATGGTTCTCGGTATAATTTTTCTGGAGACTTTTGTAGGACACTGTCAAGCACCTAAATGAAAAAGAAAAAAAAATTATATATGTGTATATATATATATATTTGTTTAACATACTTTTGACATGGATATATAGTGACCTCGCAGTCTGTGCCAAGTTTCTCAGTGTTTGATTCCAGGAAGCTTTGTCCAGCGGATGTTGTCTCCAAGGAGATGAACTTTCTTTTGCAGGAACACACGACTGTCAGCAGCAGCAGACCTGTCAGTGTGACAGAATCAACTTAAATCCCACTTGTGTTAAGTTATTATCTCACCAAAATGCTGAAATCCATAGATGTGGTTTCTTACACAGGAGTAGAATCAGTGATGCTAGAACTACACCTATAGCACCAAAGGCAGCTTTTGCGGCTGTAATTCTACGAATTTGACAGTTGGATGTCACGGAACAATCGCACACAGTCACACTGAGATTGTAAATGCCAAACGCTCCCTGTAGGTCAGAGATCTTCACATTGATTGTGTACTCTCCTGCATACACACTGGGGTCCTTCACTAAGCTGGCTGTGTAACCTGTCAAAAATATATACAGAATATTTTATTTAAAAAATGATTTGGTCTATAAGTTGTGTGAGATACACGTCTTTACCACAGGAGGGATTTAGTCTCCATTTCTCCATGTCACCCATCAGCTCAAATGTAAACGGGCCTGCGAAGGGGTCTTCATCCAAGTCCATGGCTGTGATGTTGGTTATGGTGGGACTGTCAGATGTGCACACGTCCAAGTAGTTCACCACTGGCTGCGGTGTGTTGTCATTTTGGTCAGTGACATGGATGTGCAGCGTAGCTGTTCCTGTCATTGGTGGCTCCCCTGTCCAAGATTTTTAAGTAAAAACAAATTGAAAACATGACTTGTGAAAATATGGAATATCTTGGTTCCAGACTTACCATTATCAACTGCATGTAGCAGGATTGTGTAGATATTATTGGTAACATGAGTAGATTCTCTGTCCAGTGATTTGACTGTTGTGACTTCTCCTGTGTGAGGGTCAACTGTGACCCAGCCTGCTGGGTCATTTTCTACTTTATACCTGTAAAAAAACACACAGAAAAATACTTAATTTTCTTTTCCCAAATATGTCCAGAGTTGTAGGGGAGCTGAAGAAAATCCTAGCAGAAAAAACCCTGGACCATCCATCAGTTAAACACAGGGCCACATACGGTGAGGACATAACCATTCACACTCACATTCACATATATGGTCAATTAGAAACGTTCATTTAGCAATAATCCTGCATAAACCCAGAGAGGACAGAGGAGCCCATGAAAAACACATATGCAAGCATGGGGGGAACATGTAAGCTCTTCAAAGCAGTGGTCTTCTTGCTGTAAAGCAAGGGCACTAACCATGCTGCCATCATGTGGCCAAGTATGTATTTTTTCAATGATTGTCAGAAGTATACACATCTGGTTAATGTCAATGATTAGTCAAAGGATTTTAAAGTTTAGTCTTGTTTTAGGCATGTTAACAAAGGTATTTACATAATATGTATATAGGATTTCATGGATTATTTTTGAGCAAAACAATTTTGCATTATTACCAAAGCTCCAGTAGACTAATTGGGGCCTAACGCTGATTTTAATTTAAAATTTTTAGTGTGACCCAAAGAGAGCTCTGCAGAGGAGATCCCTTAACTGCAACAACCAGATATAACCACAGTGTGACCCCTCAAAAAGAGTATTTTAAAGGGTTGATAATGTTTTTATACTCTGCAAATGTCCTACTGTACTTACACAAAATAATTTCCTTGACTGGAGTCAGGATCAGCAGCAGTAACCTTCTCCACCCAAGTTCCTATTGGTGCATTCTCCTGCAGATAGGCCTCTTTAACATCAACACTGAACACTGGCGGGTCGTTGATGTCCTCCACATTGATAATGACTTTGACAGAGTCCGGGTGCCCTCCGCCAGGATCATCGTCTGTTCCATTGTCAACCATCCAGAGGCCTGTTGTTGTCTTTTTCTTGACTTGGCAGAAGAAAAATGGAAGCTCATTTTCCACAGAGATGGTCAGTTCTACCTGTGATCCTTCCTCAAAGTCTAGCGGCTGAGATAAAAAAAACGGCAGTCAATCAACAGATGCAACACTGTGTTTTGACCAACAGGCTTGTGCTGACATGCTAGTTTAGAGGTGGGTGTCGCCGTCATGTGGAGCAGGCAGCAACCTAACACTTACTCTGACTACTTCGAGGATGCCATCATTGCTGTCAGGGTCTGTTTGGATGGTGAAATGGCTGCCTTTGTCACCATGAATGGTAAACCTGGCTCTCCAGGCAGGGCTGTGGGAGACGTCTCTGTCTGTCACATGGAGCCGCAGAGGAGAAATCCCAATCGCACCCTCCTTCACTCTGCCGGGGCCCTGCGATGTCATAAAAACGTAAACTATAATAAAAGTTATCTAAGTGTCACTCAGTAGGATTCTAAATAATAATTCAAATATTCTGAGAGATCCTTTTGGGACTGAACAAATACCAAATATTATTGATATTCATTTCATATATTTACTTTATTTCTTTTAATGAATGTAACAATAAATACAACTTACAAGCAAAAACATTTGGCCCCAAAAAGTTTGATTAATAATATCCTTTCCTTTAGATTTACGGGTTAAAACAGGAATAATATGTTGGTTTTATATCCTCATACATTAGTGGAATTGATTGCTGAATTAATCTCTTTTATCACCCTTTTCTTACTCTCCTTCACATTTATCCTTTAATGAGAGGTGAGAAATTACAGTGATAGTGTTGATGGTTTCCAAGTGATATGGAAAGATCAGAGGCTACTGCCTGAGGCAGCAGGAAACTCCAGCAGACAGGTTTAGTCCTGATTTTTATGATAACCCATTACATTTTATTAGAACAATGTCACTGAAAATCAGGGACAGCAGTGGCAGGGGCTTCTGTCCTGTGGCCACAATGTCCTCAATGTAGCCGTAATGTCCTAATTATATTTTTATTAAGTTGTTGTACTGTTTTTTGTTCTGATTTTAAAGAGACTCCTTGTCATTTTTAGTCTTACCGTCTGTGCAGTGATGGTTGGGAGGTGGTTGTTGCCATCCTGAATGTGAACGACTACAGATGTTGAACTGGACAGACTCACCACTTCACCGTGGTCTATGGCCTCCACCAGGATTAAATACTTGTCGGCAACCTTTACATAGTGAGTTTACAAATGTTAAAAAATCAAAATCAATCACGTCTTTTCTTCACTTAACTTGTAATTACAGGTATACAGTTATTCAGGGGTACACGGTGTTTGCTGGTTTGCTGTCTGTGTTATTAGGAGCCAGTGGTTAAAGTTGAATGGTGTGGTTGAATTATACATATTCTCATCAATGCTTGTAGAACATTGTTTCCCAAAGACTGGGTTGCGACCCTCAGGTGGGTCACAAGAGATTTATTTTGGGTCATCTCGCATCCTGTTATATATATTTAACTTATATTCATATTTAACATATTGCAAGTTATGTAAATATATATTTAAAACAGACAGGTTTTTCAATTATTTAACATATAAACTAGTCTGGAGGTTATTATTTAGTAGTACTACTATATATTGAAATATATATATTAAAAGCTAAGTATTTTTGAAACACTCACATATGGCATGACATATGATTTAGCCTGTAATTACTAGTCATTACAGGCAGGGTGTCAATCATAAGGAAGATTACTTCTTAAGTACATGTGTACATGTGTACATGTACAGTGAAGGTCTATTTAAGAGTTTAAACTTAGGCAGGACAGGAAATGCACTTCTAAGATTAGTATTCAGATCAACAGGACTGGCTACTTTTCACATGATTATGCTATGACCATATTCAGACAAAAACTTACTTCATGATCCAAACAACCCTTAAATGATATCGCTCCAGATTTTTCAATGAAGAATTCGGTGTCAGGAACATTCGGAGACACGTGTTTGATCTCATAGTGGAAAGTGGAGTTTGGTGTTCCTTTTTGGTCGATATCATAAGCTGACACTGCCATTAGGTAGGAGCCTTTGGGGAAATAATGTTGACACATTTGTCAGTGGAGAAGCTCAAACAGGACTTAAAAAAAAGCCAATATAAAGGTGCATTTACCTTGAGCGACCTCCTCCTTCACACTGATTTCATACAGATCCCTCTGGAACTGTGGTGGGTTGTCGTTGATGTCTCTTATGGAAATCTCAACAACTAATTTAGTATCAGTTGAGTAATCTTGTTTTCTTGACTCAAATTTTAGCTGTGGGATGCAAGATTCAACATTCAACATAAATTTTGAAATTTATGAAAAAGTCTTTGTAATTGTACCACACATTAAACAGTAGGTTTTTCAACTCCAATGGTCTAAGAATTTAGCTCAGATTATTTTAAGCTCTTTAAAGTTTCTACACTCATTTACAACGTTGTTTATGTTTTAAATGATAACCAAAGTCTACCATATATTCTCTTACATGATCAGACAGGAATGCTGGGGTAAAACACATAACTTTAGCATTAGATGTTGCTACACTAAAAGCCGGTTGGTGGCACTCTTTTCAGCACATCTACTTTTGGCAAAGGCACTACTTTTGTGGAAGGATATTATCCAGAGAGTGATAAGGTGTAGATATGAGTCTAAGAACAGCTTATATGCAGAATCAGTGATAAACCTCCAGTACATAAGTAAATCCACCTTAATCATCTTCTTCTCTTCATAGTCCACTGCTCTGTGGACGTAGATGGTGCCAGAGTCCTTATGTATGGAGAGGACTCCCCTGGGCTCCACGTCCACTCCTTCGCCATAGAGATCAAAGTGTACTTGATAGTTGCGATCAATGTTTATCTAAAACACACATTTTTCACAATAACTCACTATAATAATGACAAAAATAAATAGCAGTATCTTCATCAGCTAGGATTTCAAGACAGTAGTTCCCAAATATATTATATAATATATACAGTATATTATATATATATGGTATATTATATGAAATCATTATTTGTGAATGTGTTGACGTTTGGCACTCGACAATGGTACTATCTAAAAGAAAACATATTTATAGTTATATTTATGTTCAAGTTTATTTTTCTTGCTTTATTAAAAATCTCGCAAGATCACTGTGACACCAACATTACCCACCTGGGGATCAATAAAGTATTTCTGATTCTGAGTCATTCTGAGTCAATCACAGCTGACGCCGCTTTCTAACCTCCATAGCCCTGTGTATGACCATTACAAGTGTTCCCACAGACTCTTATTTTCTCTTATGGCACATTTTATTCTTAAATCAAAATTTAGACCTGCCATCTTCCAGTCTTTGTCATCCTATCTAACTGCTTGATGTGTCATTTATTTTTATCCATCTTATCTCTTTTCTCTTCATTCATTCCTGATTGAAGCAGATTGGCCTCACCTGCTCTCCAGCATTTGCTATTCCATGTGGTATGTGGTTAAGTATGCTCTTACTTGACTTGACTTGTTCAGGGGCAATAAAAATGGAACAATATGTTTAGCCTTTACTATAAGTCAAAATAAACCTTGGAATATTGTGAAACGTAAGAACTAAGAGTGAGTGAGTTTATCACCTGGCCCAGGACATAAGGGAAGGGCCCTGGATTTTCCTCCTCAATTGTGAACGAATCGATGATCCATGCCCTTCTGTGACGACTCAGCAGCTCCGTACACGTTGCACTTAACAAATGACAACCCTGGAAGACAAGCAGCCAAGTGAAGCTGACGTGTGCAGGTGAAGCTCCGGTCATTTCATGTATTTGTTGAAGGTTCGTAATCTGTCATTTGGACACACGGACTTATCCTACAGTTGGAGAACCTGTTCCTGTGACATGTGTACAAACGTGTTGTCATTGTTTCCTTTACACTATTTTTTTATTTTGACCATATTTATCATCTGTGTCAGCAAGATGTGATTCACAATGTGAATCACACTGTTGTATTTTTCCATCTAAAATAACCTGCAACGAAACATTGCTTCACGGTAATGTACCGATTACATCTGCGTTTGCATTGATGAAAAAAAGCTTTCTTCTCCAAACCATACAGTATTAACAAGAAGACTACTGACAAAATTGGTTTTATTTTAATTTAGCATTTTTTTATGTAATGTAGAGTGAATTTTACTACATACCAGGAGTAGGAAGGAGAGGAAAAAGAGCATGTTAGTCGGCGGTGATATCCAGCCTGGAGAGTTTGACGACTGGCGTCTCCGAGATTTGAGCAAAGACTAGACAAGATCCTGCCCCCTATATTTTACACACCCACATGCACATACAGTACATGCAATAACCACAGGTCACTGTGTGTGTATCTGTGTATGTCAAGAAGCTGAGCAACGTCTTTGTGAAATCTAAGATTTATTTAACTTTGTTTTATGTACTGTATAGATATTTTCCTTCTCCACACGCCCCGTTTCTCTCATTTATCCATTATTCCGCAAGTAGAGGAGCCTTCAAAAACACAAATCGGAAGACTTGCTGGTACTGGTTGTGGCAAGTCTCCCCCTGAAGCATACCTTTTATTGGCTGTCTGGAAACAGCATAAAACACATAGCAGGTGTTTTTCTGATCCTTAAAAACACATAATTTTTAACATTTCTTTATTGATAAAACACATAAAACCGGTCAGAGCTTTACTTCAAATATAGGATACAAAATAATAGGAATTTTCAGTACAATTCTCAACATGTAAAAGTTAAAAAAAAAACTTTTTATTGTAACATTTCAGCCAATCATATGTCATTTATAACAGTCCTGTGTGTGTTTATGCTGTACAACAATTATAACCTGTACAGTGTTTGAGCTAAAGAAAAGAAAAGAGAGAGACATCCTGTCCATCAGAGAAGTCAAAACGAGACTGGAGCAGGTGAGAACTAATAGGTTTACTTTGTATTTACAGTTCATGGTCCATACCTTGAAAGTATGTAGCACCCAACCCATCACTCATAAATCAAAGTTAAAGCGCAATGAGAGACACTTTGTGGAAGACATGTCATAGTATTTGGACATCTACTGTTGGGAGGGTGCTATCTGGGAAGGCCTTGGTGAAGTTAAAGCTTTGACTTTGACTCTAGTGTCTCTCTGTAGGTTCCTCTCTCCTCTGCTCTGTGTTGGGATGCATTTCTTCATCATCTGATCCAACCACAGGGGTGTTTCTCCCATTGGCATTGGAGGTCTGGCTGTCAGAGGAAGAGCTGGACGACGTGGAGGACATTCGCGATTTTGCATCAAGACTCTCAAGGACATGTCGAAAAAGTCCATAACCAGTGACCTCCTCGTTGTTGTTGTTTCCTTGCACTGTAAGGGACAAAAACAAAAACAGGGTCAGAAACACAGCTTCTGTGCTTCAACCTTTTCTTTTTTGTTCTGGTTCTAGTACCTGGTAGTGGCGACATCAGCACTCCCTCCTCCCCACCAGAACTGAAAAAGACATCTAAAGCCTCCTGGTCAGAGATGTCAGTCAGCTCCAGCTGGTCCAGCATGTCCACATTGACCTCCATGGATGAGACACTACCAAGTGGGGCTGTAGGAGGACACAGGAACGTAAGCATAAAGAAATATAATAATAATAATCATCGTCATTATTGTACTGTTTTTTTTTGTTTGTTTGTTTATATGCATTTTTAGAACAGTAAACAATATAAAACCAACATAAAATAAAAAAAATGTTAAAAGTGAGAGTGACTCCCAACCCCATAACTCATATTTATTGGGATTGTGGAGCATGTGCATATTTTCATCAGTGACACCAACTCACGTCTCTTATAGTCTCTGATGCAGAGGTGTGATGATGACAGATAGGCGTCCACATCGTGCTGAAAAACCTCCTCAAAGAAGCGTTGCCTCTCCCTCAGTTTAAGCTGCTGTGCCGCGTCCACATCTGGCAGCCTCTGGCCACGCTCAGCTTCGGCTGAAGAACACAAGAGAAGGACAGTACTGTGCATGAAATACTAGTTCAGCAGAAGTTTACTGCAACCCTGAGGCTAAAGATGAATTATGGACAATTTTTTTAATCTGATTTCTCCACTCTAGATGGTTAGCTGCGCAGTACTGTACAACATCATACTTGGACAGCTTACTTTGTACTTGCAAAACTCAAGTAAATGATGAACACATTTTCAAAGCCTTAGCAGTTGTTTTTCAACATATTTTAGTGACTCATGTCCAAACTCCCAAAAAATGTAGCAGCAAATTCATTTTTCAAATCAGACATATCAGTTGGCAGTAAAAATAAAATAAAATCTAAGATCCAAGAGATTGTTTTAATTGACATCTGTTTTTGTGGCAAGCCAGTCTGTCTTTTCTAGTTCTTGGCACAAATGGCCAGTAGGGGGTGTGCACAGTTCAGCCAGTGCTGACTGTGTGTAAGTATGTGATCCAACAGACTTCATCAAAAACTGAGTCTTACTCCGATTCGTGTGCTCAGTCATGGACACGTGAGAATGTGTTTTAGTTTTTAAATCTCCTCATTAATCTTTTAAAAAATGTAGAACTTCTTATATCTCAGTCACACCGGAGTTATAAACTGCAACAGACTGCCTTCATGCCTTATTTTTCTTTAAATTCATACCTCAGACTTCAAAGTCTGACAGTCATTCTAAAATGTATTACAACTCAAACCAAATGGATGAGGCCTTAAAGGTGTCTGAGAACAGGATGAAGATTATCTGTCCTGAGCCCAGAGAAGCCGTGAGTGATTCTATAAATATTCCCCTGACTAATGTTGACTGGAAAGACATTCAGCTCAGAGTTGAAATGACTTCAGACAAGATTATTGGGATTTTTTTTATTATCATTATTTTTTCAGACAGAAAAGAAGAGAATTGAGCTTTTTGCAGCCAGAAATGTTCCAAAAATATTGTAGTTTCAAATTAGTCTGAATCAGAGCCAGTTTTATTGGCAGGTATATGAGATCACTCTTTCAGATATTTCTGTCCATGATACACTAGGAAATTTTGATACGATAGGCAGATCTGAAGTGCAAACACATTCATAACATACAATGCTTTAATACGGCCTAGCATTGGTCTGCTAAAAATAAAAAATCCTTGAATGTCTTTGGAGTAGTATATAAATATAGCTACAGAAACATCGCTACTGATCCCAGCAACAGATCTACAGATCTGACGTAGCTGCCGATCCCAGTTCACACCATAGAAAGTAGGTTTTGAACATTTGGTTGATAATAGTCTATAAGTTTATTTTAAAATTTGATACAAAAATTTTGAAATATAAATGAAAGACAATTCCACATCCTCTGTTTATTTTATTTTATACCAAATGGCCAAATTAGGGAAGGGTACCAGCCTTCCTGTAAACAGGTGTTGAATATGAACATGCTGTATAAACATTTTCTCTGGTCTCGATAAACACAACGTAGTATCTGCGAGGTGAGAAAGACCAGACCATCAACAGGCCTCCGTAATCTGGGAACATTTCTGAGGTGATGCCGGGACATGAGTCCTTCACTGAGTCTCTGCTCTGCCCTGCATGACAGGCCTTTAGGACAGAGCTGCAGGGCAGAGGAGGCCAAGTGTCACTGGCTCTGACCTCAGAGAGAACAAATGAAAGGCAGTCAGTTGAAAGTGTTGCGTCAGTGATGGTAACCACTTTTTATTTATTTATTCTTTTTAATCAAAGCTACAGAAAAAAAAGCAACCACACACCAGTAACCGTGACGTGTGTAAGGCCCATTTCTAGCTGAAACTAAATGTTGTAAATGTAAATGGTAACGATGAAAAGTGAGTGGCTCTCACCTTCTGAAAGAATTTGATGTTTTCATCCCAGGCCACAGGCTTAAACAAACTGCTTATTCTGGAAATTTTCCCTCACTCGGGTTAACACTGATTGATCACAGTATTGATTGTTTTCTACTAAAAGGCCGGGGCCCTCAGAGAGCCAAAGTTTACCTGCAGAGGCAGAGGCTCCCATTGATTTTGTTTCCCTATCCAGTTCTCTTCTTTTTCCACTGAATCGTTTTCGTCAATACGTCTTCCTTGGACACAGATGACCTCCGTGACCTCTGATTAGTGCGGCCAATCACATATCACAAATCACAACACAAATGACCACAGTCTTCAGTGTCGGTGAGCTCACATGTTAGTTCTGTGACTGTCTGACCGCACTCTGTGGTATCGTGTAACAAAATATCTGCAGTGTCTGAGTTCAGGAGAGAGGGCGACAATCATCCATGACCAAATAAAACTTTGTCACCTCTTCTCTACTCCCAAAATGTACAGACATAAATAAATAATTATTTATTTATTTTTTAACCATGGTTTCTAATCCATGTTTTTTTATGTAATTTCTGTTGACATTTGACTTTAGATTTTTGACTTCTGTTGACATTTGACTTTAGATTTTTTTTCTGACTTTTAATCTTTGCCCCATTTCTAACAAAATATAAATTAGGTTTTAAACTCCTTTAATGCCCTTTGACCTTTGTCATACTGTATGTGCTACCTATTTGGCATAAATTAATACCTTTAACTCTCAGCATTCACAAATTCATTTATGAAGGTGTTTTTTTCCTTCTCTCACCCTTTCCCCCCTTGGCCTCTCTCACTTCCTCTTGCGACTTAAGGAAAACAGAGGTCACAGATCAGGGCTGAGGACCAGCTGGACAGGCAGAATGACTGGAACAGAGGGAACGACAGAGACAGTGAAGCAGGCCGGATGTGTCTGCCTGCCACTCTGCCTCCCCACATAAAGACAAACCCAGATCCTCCGCTCACGGTCCACAGAGAGAAAGAGCGCTTTCAGAGTCGGACAAAGGCGCAGATATAAAGGAACAGGAGTGGCATGCATGCTGTAGACTGGACGACATTTACAGGAAATCTTTTCTGTCCATGGAGTGGAAGGGGATTTACCTAAACTCAGCTGAGTTTGTTGTGTTAAATTCTGCCTTTTTGGAATGTTTTTTTCAAAACTTCAATAAATATATTGACAATCTAAATAACAAGGAGAATGTATTTGTAACAACCACAAAAATGTTAGAAATCTTTGGTGGAAAGGTGTTAATAAAAATGACAGGCAACATCCTGAACGGGTTGAAGGATAGATGTGTCTTAGAGTTAAGTTGTTTTTTAAAAAAACAAAAAACAAAACGTAACCTAATATAGACATTGGCGTGAAGGCATCATAAATATAATGTTCTGTTAGCTTTCTTAATTAGCTGGTAGCTTAGAGCAGTGTTTGTGTAGGTGATGTGTGTCTGCTGTGCTGAGTTAATCAGTGTCATCACACTCACCTGTGACTTTGTCATTAGCCTCACTCGTGTCACCTGGTGCCCTGGGTATATTTACCTCTGCCTCACGCTGTTCTTATTGGGTTGTTAATTGTGATTTTGGTGTTTTGTGTATGATGTTTCTTGCTTCATGTTCTTTGCTCCTTGTACCAGTGCTCTGTTCCAGTTCCTGTTTGTTTTGTGTATGATGTTTCTTGCTTCATATTCTTTGCTCCTTGTACCAGTGCTGTGTTCCGTTCAGAGTTTATAGTTCAGAGTCTAGCGTTTGTTGTTCTGTGTTCCTGGTCCTGATTCACATCTTTCTGGTGTTGCAATTAGGTCCTGCCTGCTTTCCAATGTTGCAAAGACGTAACATATCCACGGTGCATATTTTACATTTTAAAAAGTCCCATGGTCCACCACCAAACAATTGTTAGACCTGGGCCTGTTTAGATGAACACAATGCTGATATACTCACAGGAATTGAAGAACAACGAACATAGAAGATTTTTGGATTTCTCTGCCTGTCACGGCCTGAGCAATTATTTTCAGTTCATAAATAATAGTTTTCAGATCAATTGCGAGGAACTGGGTAATTTTCCACTCTCACCGCACCCTAATGAGTCACAGTACAGTGATTGGTCTGTGTTAGGAAGGTTTATGAAAGTAGCGTTTACCAAAATGGGTGTTGTCCCAACATTTTTGCTAAATACTCAAACAGACAGATGCTCAATTCATTTCTTTTTGCTTCATATATCACCACATGACACATCAGCCTAACTGAATCTAAATTGAATGTTAAAACCATAAACCCCAGTGAAGCATAATAATAATCATTAAGTTACAGTCGGTCACATTTTGCATTGATAAGGATCAGACCGCGATGTGCCTGTTCAGAAACTGCACAAAAAGCCGAGGGACAACATTGATCTGGAGGCTAAATGAAGCAGGGGAGGGCTCGGTGTCACCCACAGGCTGCCATTAGAACCGTCTCTGAGCTCAGTGAAAATGTGAGCCCACACAGCCTCCCCTGTGTCAGAGAGGAGGGAAGGTCAGGGCAGTGCAAAGCAGAGGAAACAGACCATGGATGATCCAGTTGTCTCTGGTTGTCAGGGCAGCGTGGACTTCAGGTCCTCCTCAGTAAACAGTAGTTAAGCAGAAGCCCCAGTGACATCCAGCACTTCCTTCCTCTCTGTTTTTATAGAGAGCTGTTTGCCAGACTCTTGACAGAGAGAGAAAAGGCTTCATATACAAAGGACTGGGTCGTTCTTGGGTAAACAGTGGAACTTACACACTTCAGTGTCTATTTTGGAGTAAATGCATGTGAATCACAAACTATTTCATTCTCTTACAGTAGAAACTCTCAGGAAAAGAAGCAGAATATCCTCCTAACACCAAATCATGACTGTATTTCTAGTTTTAACTTCCACTGTGTAGGTGGAAGAGTGGTTACAGCTCTTGCCTTACAGTCTTTTTGTATAGTTCTACCAATGTACTCTCTGCTACCTCAGTCTGAAAACATGCTAGGTTAATGAGATACTGTTTGTACCCCACCCTCATCCGTTGGCTGCTGGCTAGGTTTGACGAATGGAACCACAATATGAAAACTTCAAACTGTGATTGTTTTTGTAAAACTAAGAACACAGAACTATAATATCAACAGTAATAATTTAGCCCTGTGCTCTGTGTCTTGAAGCTTGTCTGCGTGACTCATAAGTACTGACCCAGACATGAAACCTTGTTTGGAAACTTCCAACTAAATACTCTGGTTTGTGGTAGAGAGCTCAGATTTTATTTCAAAATATGTGGAACAAGAACATGTTCCCACGAAGAGGCTGGGGTGAAAAGGGAAAGGGAGAAAAAGCTCAAGAAGTGCTTACATGTGTTGGAGGTCATTTGAAAATAAATGACCAGACGTGATGTGTTAGATGTGAGTCAAACGTGACTGGACAAGACGTGAAGATGAAGAAGAACACCAAGAGAGAGAGATCGTTTGTGTGCACACTTATTACCGTCTGTGACACTGCATAGCTTCCTGCAGCAGCAGCAGTTGGCTGTTGACAATCTCCAGCTGGTCATTACTGGATCTATCATTGCACTAAGACTGGTTCACTAACTAATGCTAGTGCTTCAGTGGTCATTAAGTATAATGCAGTGACTGACTTTTATTGCTTTCAAATGTATCACTCTATAAGTGTATAAGCCACGGACAGCTGGAGAGAACCACTGTAATTACAAACCCTATATATTTCTCGTGCCTCAAAACTGGAAATACCCCAAATGGAACTGAAAAATGCTTGTGGCCGCACACGTCCAGAGAACAGAGAGACTGTCAGAGAGAGAGTGTGTGTCTCTGTGGCTGCAGCTTCACACTTTTATTTTTGGTTTCTTTCCAAAAGCGGCCGTTTATGGAGTTCCAGTTGCAAAGGGCAGTGAATTATTAATGGCAGCACTCGACGTGTCTGTGTGTGTAACTGGTGGCACTAGTGTCTGAGTTTCCCTCTTGAAATGTGTTTGTCTCTTTTCGCGTATGTCCAACTGTCCCATGTCAGGGACAATGCCGTGTCCAGCACCGTTAGCCCAGTTTCTCAGAAGAGTGACATCAGCGTTAACCCTTCCCCTCCTCCTCCTCCGTCTGGATGACTGTCACACTAACAAAGACAGCGTTTGTTGGCCAGTGTCCTGTCCCACTGCCCTCCATCCGTAAGTGCACAAGCTGATAGTCATGAGTTCTGATCGACACAACACCCACCCTCAAATGACGCAGCCATGTCTTTCTCTAACATCCTTAAACTCACCTCATTACCCCAAATTAAGTGCAAAACACTGACCAAGAACAGAAAAACGAAGCACAAGTGAGGTCTTCTATGAACACACTCTGAAACAATAAGTAATGGTTGAGTGTGATGTCCGCCTACTGGTGATTTATGTATAACTCATGAATCAATAATAATTGTTTTAAAGGAGGTTTAAAGCTACAGCCTCCTTTTCACCCGGTGGTCGCCATCTTGTCATCCGGTTGTCCAGGTGTTCACAATACTTTTTTATTTATTTATTCACAACTTGAAATACACTCTTCCTGCTCATTTAAGACCTTTGAGTGCTTTTGTTCTGGTGGTAAACATTAGCTGCTAATGTTGCTAACATTAGCTTAGGTTACAGGATACAGCTTTATTAGCCATTATAGAGGTGTAAAACTGCCTTTAACATTTGTATAAACAGCTTTTACTTGGGAAATCCTTCAAGGATTTACATTTCAAGTGCATGAATCGACCGAGGGATAAACTGATTATCAATGATGCCTGACAATGGAGTTCAAATCCATAAAAGCAAATCAATAATCTCCCACACTGAAACATTGTTTCAATATTCGTTTACCATTAAAAGACCAAATAACACCATAGAGACCGTGTGTCTAAATCCCTCAGACTCGGCGTAATCAACTCAAAATACAGTTACACGCAGTATGTGGTATTGATTTGCTCATTAACCAGCATCCACCTCCTCGGTCCAATGTAGGTCACGTCCGTGTGTCCTGATGAAGCTCAGAACACATGGAAAACTAAAACATTTCCCTTTACATCCGATGCCCTGCTGAGTGTAACATGCTGTCTGCAGCTGGTCGGCCCTTCACTCCGCAGCACATGCAGGGATTTGCCTCTGTGGCTCACATTCTCACAGTAATAATACCACGAGACAGAGAGGCTGCAGAGGGAGGTGGGGGTGTGATCAACAGGTGTGAGGTACCTTCTGTGGAGTTACAGTGCTGAAATCGAACCCCGACCACCAGGACTAAAGGGTTGTGTGTGTGTGTGTGTGTGTGTGTGTAGACCTCACTGCAGCCTGTTAGCTCTGATGAGATCTACAGCCACAATCCCATTAGAAATGAGAGATCTTTGTCTGGAGCTGTGCACTGGCCTCAATCCAAGCCTGCCACACTCATTACGTTTGTGTGTGTGTGTGTGCGAATGGGGGTGTGTGTGAGGGCGAGAGACAGTGCAAGAGAGAGAGAGAGAGAGAGATCCATTCACTTAATATTAGTGAACATTACTCAGAGTGATGATTCAACATTCCTGTCTGATTTTTGGCTGGAGCGTTGACCAGTCACTTAAGGAAACAATAACACAACAGCATGCAATTTTAACACACACCCACTTCCACAATCCGAACAGACACATACACGGACACACAAACAGAAGAAGAAGCTTTCTCCTCTGGTATCCACTCATATATAAAGCAGCATTGATTTCAAACATTTCAATTTTCTACACAAAATGTTTGAGCTGTTCATGATGACCAAATATGGAAAAGAAATGAAAATTCCTCCCTTCCTGTGTCATCCTCCACAAATATGAAAACTACTGAAGAACCCAAACCTGTGACCAGACTTTAAAATGTCGACAAATACCTAAAGATTCTTTCTGTAAAAAAGGTAAACAGGAGTTTTGGAAAAAGGAATTACTCACAGGGCAGACGTTTGTTGTGCAGGTTGGATGATGCTGAGCTCATGTTGCTGAAGATCCGTGGAAATACAAGAAATGACAAGTGTGTGTGTGTGTGTGTTTGTGGCAGCCGGTCAGCCCAGTGAGAGTTCAGCCAGGAGGCCGCCGATCATCTCCCAGCTCCTCTGATCATGTACGGCAGCTATGGAGTCACAGATGCTGAGGCCGTCCTGCCCGGTGTTCTCCTCACCTCTATCCCCTCTTTGGAGACTGAGTCACTTGGATGAGGCGAGAATAAGTTTGTGGCTTTGTGGAATCAACAGACCAATGGCAGGAAGGGGGAGGAGCTGAGAGAGAGCAAAGATGGGACTGAGGAGAGGGAGTGAGGGATTTTATGTAACAGAGTGGAAAATACCAAGGAGGGACAGATGCCTTTGTTATTTTAGTCTTCTTACAACCGACCTCTTCACCTTCTCTCCTCTCTCTCTCTCTCTGTCTCTTCCACTTGCAGACATAGAAACACTATTCTTTTTCACCTTCAGGATCAGGGCAGTTCATAAGGTTTGTTGAGTCATATTAAATCAGTATATCAGCAAATTGTTGTAGTTAGAGCCCTCTAACTATAACAAAAATAAATACCACTGATGTTCACCAGTCTTTTCAATAGTCGACCACAGTCTTCCATGAATGTCCAGGACTAAGGATTTAAAAAAAAAGGAAAATACTAAAAACAAAATTTTGTTGAAAGTTTTCAGAGTAATTTGGTTTAGTTTTTAGAGTGTATTGTTTTCTGATTAGTAATACCAGTGAAAGGACATGGCTGTAAACCACACTCAAATTCAATCCTCCAGATATATTAATAAATCTTCTATAAATGAAATAAAATGAAGGTAAATTTTGTTTAACTGGTTTGAGGTATTTTGTGTAGCCATCTGCAGGGGTTATAAAGACTGCTACGAGCCAAGTCTTTATAACCATCGTGGCATCTGTGTCGTCGTTTGCATGTGTACACTGGACACCATCTAGCGGAAGGGATGTGCTATAGCGTACAAATCCCGTTGGTAATATACTGTATGCTGCTGTATATTTTTTGTTTAGGTAATATTTACATAAGTTATGGATTACATTAAAGTATTAAATGGAATTATGACATCATCTGATAGCATTTAACTTACAGAGAGGTAGCCAATTCTTAGTTCTTTATTTGGAGAGTGTGTTTCAATAATTTCTTTATTTGTCCAACATTGGGAAAACAGCTATTTTATTTTATTTTATTTTATTTTATTTTATTTTATTTTATTTTATTTTATTTTATTTTATTTTATTTTATTTTATTTTATTTTATTTTATTTTATTTTATTTTATTTTATTTTATTTTATTTTATTTTATTTTATTTTATTTTATTTTATTTTATTTTATTTTATTTTATTTTATTTTATTTTATTTTATTTTATTTTATTTTATTTTATTTTATTTTATTTTATTTTATTGCTTTAGGTGAGGCTATAATTGTTTCAAAGTTGCGGTCATGTTGTAGATTTTTACAGGATGTGGATTTATATAAACTGATCATTTTGCAGCAGTACATTGTCACTTCATTTACAGCGCCATAACTAGAAGTGGAAAGCTACATGCTTGACATTTAACTGTAAAAAGGCTTTGATAGGTATGAAACCAAGACTAGAAATGTGCGGCTAATCCAACAACAAATTTGCTTATTGCACATACTTTCTACACATAAAGTAGAACAACCGAAACTGTGCCAAACTAGTGAAACTGCAAACCGGGCTGTAATTTAGCATCTGGGAAGTAGTAGGAGTCACTGGTGATTTCTATCAATACAGAGGGGAGCTCTTTGTAAATGTCAAGGGTTGTGGCGGTTTAGCCTAAAACGTACAATTGGTGGCAGACGCTGTAGGTGTATGTGTCTGTTTGTGTCTGTTTGTGTTTGTGTGTGCAATCTTGCAAGTTTGGCCTTTCACTAGGTTGCGAGGCCAGACTTTGCCTCTGAAACATTGGTCACAATTATCCAGTGACTTATGTTTTGGAGCTAACGTTGTTCACAGTTAGGCTTAGATAGAGTGAGGGGCCGGGAAATTGATTATTTCTACGTCTGTCCTCCAAACTGAAAAAAAAAAAAAAGCAGAAAAGATAACGTTAAAAGACTGAGAGAGAGAGAGAGAGATAGGCAGAGAGAGAGAGGGGGAGGGAGGGAGGGAGGGAGAGAGAGGGAGGGAGAGTGGGCAGAGGAAGTATGATGTGACTCAAAGTGAGAAAACCTCTTCACCTCAATCTAAACTATGTGTGGGTTTCTCATGACTAGGGGTTCACCCTCTCAGGCCTTGCAAAATCAATAACTGTGGCCGCAGCTTTTGTGCAAAAGCAAAGTTGCTGCATTGTAAAGCGAGATACAAGATATTGGTAGCTCGTAGGAGGTGATCAGACAAACATTTCTGAAAGACACACAGCAGCCTCAGATGTTTATGTGGTCTGGAAATCTATGAAAGAATCATCTTTTTCTTTTTTTTCTTGTTTTTTTTTATCTTTTGCAGCAGACCATTATTAGTGGTACTTAAAGTTGACCTTTGAGCTCTTTGGTCCAAAGCAATTACTGACCATTTCAAAGCGAACCTTTCTGTTTGGTTTCTCACTCACTCTGGGATGGAACATCACTCACATTTGCGCTTGAGGTGAGAAATAACACAAAGAAGATGAACCAACGATAGCTCGGCACCGTCAGACAGCAGATGTATTTGTGTGATTTGTGTTTCACAGTCTGAGGTTTGTTTGTTTTTTCTCTTCTCACACTTGTGTGTCCATGTCTAAAGCAGCATTTTTGAATTCCGCCCTCACTACGCCGGGCGAAGCGCCAAAGCCATCAAGCAAGTCATACGCCTACCATCAGCTGAGGAGTTGCACAGCCATCTCATTTCTAATTATACACACAACAACAGAGAGCTGCACGGAGCTACAGTACAAGGGAGAAAGTGCGTGGAATATGGAAAGAGGAGGGTGATTACAAAAGCAGGAGAGTGAGAGTGCTACTCAACAGCTAATACAGGGTGAGCAAGTTCAGATCTGAGAGGGGGGAGAAAGGAAGGGAGGTGGCATCGAATCTGTCTGAGGAAGGTTAACAGGACTGACTGACTGACTGACTGTGTGAAAGTGGGAGTTTATAATGTAAAAAGTGAGTGGGAGGTAAGAGAGAGAGAGGTGAGGGAGAGAGAGAGAGAGAGAGAGAGAGGGGTTGAGAGAAGAAGTGAAAAGGAGAGAGTGTCTGATCCAGTCTGTCGTCTGCAGACCCTGTCTGGAGGCTTCTGTTCACTCCACTGTGTTTTACCTTTTCACCTGCAGCCTGGGATGACATAAGGTAAGCAAGTGTGTGTGTGTGTGTGTGTGTGTAGTGCACATACATGCATGTGTGTGTGTTGAAGGATGTGGACGGTCAGATGCATGGATGAATGAATGGATGAATGATGGATGGATGGATTGATGGATGGATGGATGGATGGATGGATGGATGGAAGAACCACCTTGTACGCATTTTCTGTAGGGTGAGCAACTGAGTTTAGACATGTTTTATTTTCTACTGCTGTGATGTAATGCAGTCTGCTCCAATGTAGACTCCTTGTTAACATCTGAATGTACATTTAAAGTAAATGAATTTGAAATAATTTCTAAAAAAAGAAAAAAAACCTCAGAATGACCATAAAAACAACATCTCAGTGTATATTGATTACTGAAAGTATTGTGTTAAAACACTTTTCTTTTTTTCCCCAGTATTTCATACAACTGTTACGTTATCCGACCTTTTAAGTTTTCAAGTTCATGTTTTAATAGTGGAGTTCGTGCTAATTAGCTGCCATCAGTGAGCGACAGCAGCCTCACGCCTGTGTCCCCAGGTGCACTTCTTACTGTACGTCGTCCGTCTCCAAAGATAAATGTATAATGACATTTTCAAAACAAGAACAGTATGGATGGATATAATTTATTAATAATTTATTAATAATTATCTATTAAAATTAATAATAATAATATAATCTCTTCATGTTTTTATCAAGATAAAAAAACAATTTTTGTTTTTTCTTATTAAATAATTAAATTATATATGTGTGTGTGTGTATTTATATATATATATGTGTGTGTGTGTTTGTATTTGTATTGGACTTTGAGAATGTTACTCTACACCAGGGGTATCAAACATACGGCCCGGGGGCCAAAACCGGCCCTCTAGGCAGTTCAATTCGGCCCACTTGATTAATTTTAAAAATAAAATAAAAAATACACAAATACTTTATGTTCAGATCATGGTATTTTTTGCAAAGTTATATTTCATTACATATGAATTAATAGTAATAAATATCCAGTATACTTGTACTTTGAAAACAGAGGGGGAAAACATGGACTCATTGTTAATTATAGTAAATTATGTTATGTTTGTACTGGTACGGCCTACTTGACATCTAATTACGTTGTATGCGGCCCGTGAACCAAAACGAGTTTGCCACCCCTGCTGTACACCACGGCCTTACAATTGCCATGATAGCACCACCTATAGTCGAAGAAATACAACTAAATACAGAAAATTGAGGATAATACAAGAATACTGCAGACGTTATCTCCAAGGAAGGGTTCACAGGCGTCAATTTGAGCAGCGCAGCTAAAATGTGTCTTTCTGTGCTCGTTGAAATTCAGTTCATTTCCATAGATTAGCACGCTGTTCTTCACTGGTGACCTCATATGGTCACGGACTGAGGAACAGCACAGTGAAGACTTGTTTGGGTCATGATTTGGTTACGTATAAAATGTTCCTGTGTGACCGTCATCGTGTGAGTGGCCAATAACTCTGCAACTGCCCTTTAAATAAATTTACATTTACAATCCAGACAGAGATCTGAAGAGTACTTCTCAGTGTAATAACCAAGTGCTTACACATAACACAGAGAAACGCACACACACAGTGCGGACACTCAGCTGTTACACTGACACAATTCACTGTCCTCAGGTGAGCTTTGCCTTCAATGACTTTTAAAATTTAAGTGTTTGGGAATTTCCTTTCTCCATTTTTTTTCCTGTGCATGGATGCTTACCCTCTCGATGTATTTTCTTTTTCTTTTTTGTATAAAGTCATAGTCAGCACCATTCTGGGGTTATGGTTTCATGTGGTTAAGGAACTCAGGCATGGAAGTACCTTACCTGTTCGAACATCTTAATGGATGTGGAATTTTCCTGCACTACATTCTTGCCGTGACCAATTTAAACCTCACATTTACTCTGGATCTTTTACTTTGTCTTGCTCTTGACATCATCGCTCCTTTGTCAACCACGCAATGCTGTACTTTGTTACCATAGCAGCCATTTAAAGGCACAGTTTGATGTCAATCAAGCTAAGACCATATAGGAATTGGTGCCTTAAAAAAAACTAATTTGACAGTAATGGCTTGTTGTTGAGACAAAAAGATGGTATTTAAAGGCTAACATTTTACCAGGTGCTGCATTCTAATATGTGAGCTCCGGGCATTTACAGTACAAATTATTTTTTTTACATTCCTTTTTACTCTGCTAACTGATACTGAGAAAATTGTTTCAAATATCCTGACCAGATCTCCAACACCCCTGCAGGAGGACATGCAGTAACTCTTGTAATTGACGGGCAGAGCGAGCCAATGAGCCTCACACCAAACTCAGCTCTGGTCCCAGACAGAGACTGCTTACCACTGAAGAAAAGGGACCAGAGGTTGAGCCCCCTGTCGCAGCAGCAGCAGCAGCAGCAGCAGCAGTGTGATGCTGAAACTTTCAAAACACCGTATCCCCACAAGAGCCTCGGTGACTTTAGGGCACCACGTACAAGTCCATTCCAGCCGGTGGCCAGGCGTGTTCCTGCTCTGTACCAGCCCTGGATGCAGCTTCACCCATCAATCCGGTCCAAACCTCACCCACTGTCTGGGTTCAGGGAGCCTCATAGCTGGACGGAGTGGAGAGGGTTCAACCAGTTGCCTTCTGGGTGGGACATTTTTCATCACTATCAGCACAGCAGACACTTCCCTGTCACACCTGTATTCCACCCTGACTCTCCACACCACACCTCCATCATCAGCCCTACCTCCTTTGTCCCCGAGGGTCTCAGTGTAAATAACGGATATGACTGGGAGCAGCTCAAGTCGACCAGAGGCAAAGGATCCTACATGGACAGACAGACCAACGGTAGGAACAAAGGACCGTACACGAAGGCAAGAGAGAAGAAAGTGGAGTGTTTGTCTCGGTTTGAAAACTCTTTTCCATCCTCGATGAGCACTTGTCTACCTCGGTCTCTACAGAATGACCATCTTAGCATGTTCCGCACAACGTCAGACTCGTCAAATCCAGCTTCCAAACATCCCCTCAAAAGAGTTTCCCCTGGGAGGAACTCAGAAACCGCAAAGGAAAGCATCCTCAGGTCTGAGCTTCGGCCTTCTTCCAAAAACTCCTCATCTTCGTCATCTCCGTCCAATCATTTCCCCTGGCTAATCCCTCACTTTGTGGCCGGCTCGCTCATTGAACTCAGAGATGGACGACTGAGACAAGTAGAGCATCTTCAGACGGAGGACTTCCTGCTGGGTTCACTGGCCTGTCCAGATCTGCGCCTGAGCTGCTGCACAGTTCAAAGAATCATTCCTCATATCTCCCCTTCCTCCTCCTCCTCCTCCTCCTCCTGCATCTCACGCCTCCTCATTCTGCTTCACGAGTTACAGACGCAGGTAATGGAAAATGGCTGCTTAGTATAATAAGGTGAAGGATAAAATCTAGGAGACAGAAAATAATATTTAGCTTTAATTTGTGCGATGATAGAATTGGCAACAAGCAAGTTCATGACGCTGTATTTCATAAGTTATTGAATTCTTTTGAGCTACTCATCGCTTGCTTTACAAGTGGATAGGAATACAGCCAACAGATACCTACTACCCTCTAGCGAACGATTTTGAGAACTGCATCTAAGTCAGTCAGTCAGAAATGGTCATACCGTACGTCACAAAGTGATGAGCCGTGACCAATCCTTGTTTTCAGAAAGCTAAGCATTATGGGATACTTCTTATATTAGTGATCAGAATCAGTAATAATTGATCAATTCCAGGAGAGAAACTGTAGGTGCTCCTACTAGAGTTTTTTAGAGTTAGAAACTGTAGGTGCTCCTACTAGAGTTCAAATGACATGAGGAAATTACAAAAAAAAATTTAAAAAATTGATTCAAACATGGTTATTTCAACAATATTAAACAAATTAAACGTTTTGTTTAAAAAAAATTGATTCAAATATGGCTATTTCAACAATATTAAACAAACGTTTTGTTAGGTCAATGAGTCTATTGCAAAATATTGTGGAATAAGTTTAATGACTCTCAGAGGGAGAAGTTTAAAAAAGTCTAAAGTTAAAATTACTAAAACATATTCCTTTGTCCACAACCCTGATTAATGTTTTTAAGAAATATTAAACCACAGGTTATTTTTTTAGGAATTACATATATTTTATTTCTATTTTATTTGGGTTTTTTTTGTAGCTATTACTGCAGAGAGCTCAAGCAAAAAATGGAAGCCCAAACAAACAGTTTGAAATTTGAAGAGCTCACCTAAAAAGCAAAGATTTCTCTGTGGTTGGTTCTAATTCTGTGCATGAACTTGTTCCTGTCTCCACGAAGGAACTGGTGGACGTCTACGTGGAGTACCCGTTTTTTGTCCGTGGACAGGGCTGGTCCTCCTGCTGCCCTCAGAGAACTGCCCGTCTCTGTGGTCTGCAGTGCCGTCAGCTGAGTGTGGGGGACGTCTGCCTGGCCCTCACACCTGTCTCAGCAGCACCACCTCCGTTGTCAGTCACCCTGACGCCTAAAACCTCACCCAGTAAATCGGAAGGAGGGCGTGAGGCCCTGCAGGCACCACAGCCACACGTTCTCCCAGAGCCACAGCAGCCAGCAGGGGGGGAGAAGGAGGTGGCAGAGGCAGCACGGAGAAGACACTGTTCTGCCCCTGAGCTGAGACACCTGGAAATTCATTGTATGGAATTAGAACAGTAACTCGGTCACTTTGTCTTAACTCTTCTATGTGTTTGCTGTCTTTCTCTCTACCTCCTGATCTGTGTGTCTGTGCTTCTAAAATGTCATGGAGAAGAAACAAAAAGAAATAACAGAAGTGAGACAAAATTAAAAACACGTTGTTTTGGAAACACCGGGTAAAAAGGGGCATTTTGACTTTTCGCAAGATATTAGTCAGTGCTGTGGCTGGAATCAGTCTGAGTCACCGACACTATAGTTTCCACCGAACATCTGCACTCTGTAAAAACACAAACACTATGAAATTAATACATAACAAAAAAAAAAGAATAATAATATACCACTATGAGTGACCCCCCTCCACCCATTTTCTAGGTTGGCATGTGGGGTTTTTTGACCACTATTTTGAGGGCAATTAGGAAGAAAAAAAATGTGAACCTGTGAACATGTAGACAATCAATACATTGATACTATCAGTGAACCAGTCCAGCTTCCACCTCTAAAGTGTCCCGGGGTAAATGCACAATGACAATCATTGTTTTTCTTTCTTTTCTTTTTCTTAAAGTAAATCAGGAGAATACATTTTCACACCTCTACCTCTGTTTCTTCGTTGCATTGACAAATTTAATGCTGTTTTCCAGGGGTGGGCGCTGTGGTGTAAAATGCTTTGCTATGAGAATGCCTTTGTTTGTCGACTGATGCAAATTAATATATAATAAGGTGAAGTGAAATAAAGTTAATGTGCTGATATGTGTTGTACACGTGGACACGCTTTTTCTCCTTCAGCTCAATCTGTTTTTAATGTACTATGACACATTTAATTTGTGTCCCCTTGAAAACCAAGCTAATGATGTGACAGGCAAGTTGAACTGTCAGGTGTCCTTGATCGGGAAGCATGTTTTTTAAGCCCTGTAAAAAAATAGACAGACATCTGTGTCGGTCAAAAATGTTGTAATTTCTCTCTGTCTGCACCAGCACGGCTACAACACAGAAACTCCACATTCACATCCACTGTCGAAGCTGACGACCTACTGGGATGGAATGCAAAGCCTGGTACACATGCTTGGGCTGATGGACTGACTGGGACGCTCAGTGTCCTAATTTAATTTAGGATGTGAAAAAAAAAGATGTCTTCAGCATCGTGGAAAACATGGAGGAATTCTATTTTGTGTCAAGTTACAGCCACTTTTCTCACTGTTAAATAAATATATTGTTGTGTAACTTGTGGTCTCGAGTACTGTACCTTCCTATGTGTACTTTATGGTACACATAGGAATACAGTTTAGAAAAGGGATATTTCTTCACTGATTACTTAGAATTTATGTAATGGGTAATATTACTTTCATTATCATTATCAATTGAGCCTGAATTTTTTAAAATCCTGAATTAATGTAATAATAATATAATAATTCATTGAAGTCCCTTTGTCAGGGTTGTGTGTGTTTCCCTTTCCTGTCTCGTCTGCTGGGTGGAGTTAGTGTCATCACACTCACCTGTGTCTCCCTGATTAGTCTCTCTGGTTTCACCTGGTATATATATATATACACCTCCCTCCCTCCATCTGTGTGTGTGAGATCATTGTTCTGTTGTTAGCAGTGGTGAGTGGTCTGTTCAGGTCAGGGTCTGTGTTCCTAGTAATTCAAGTTGAGAAGAGAATTCCACGTCCATGATGTTTGGGGAAGAGCCGAAAGAGACATTGTTGTTGCTCATCCACAGCCGTTTAAAGAACCTGCCTGCAATCTGTGCTACATTCCTGTGCGTTGTTGTTGTTGTTGTTGCTCACCTGCTGCACCTGAAGAGAGTCTCCCTAGTGCTGCGTTTGGGTCTAACCTGCTTCCTGCCTTCCTCACATAACACCCTTATTTATCTCTCACATTGTGAGTCTTTGCAACCCACACAGGCTGCCCAATTGGAGGCACCAAGTATGTGGTTCCTTTGGGGTTTGAACCCAGGACCTTCTGCATGTAAGGCAGATGTGTAAGCTGGTGTAATAGCAGCTCCACTACGGAACCACCAAAACTCTGGAGATGCTGGGGAACAATGAGATTGAGTTGCTTAAAAGAAAAACATACATCTGATTCTGGTTAGACAGCTTCCATTTATTCAAATTCTTCAATTTTACATTGTCTCATTTACGACCTCAGTTTGATCACCTGCAGATCTGCTCTGACATGAGAAGGCGGCTGCAGTCAGAGGTGATGTCACGCGGCCACATTAAAGATGAATCACTGACATTTTGAAGACTGTGTGTCTTTCACAAGCCTGCTCTTCGATCCCACACTGTGTTATTAAGTGTCTTATAATGTCATTCTTCATTTACTGTAGCTCCTCTGCATCAGCAGCCTATGGAGCAATGATCCAGATGCCTCACACCTGCAGCTGGATTGGGCTGTGAAAGTTTCATCACAGGAAACTATAGTGTGTGCCAGAAATATTTAGGGCTCGATGAACTGAACTGAAAAACTTTCTTCGTGCTTCGTTAAAGATGTGAACGATGTGATTAAAAAAAAAAAAGTGCTGCAAACACAGGAGTTGTGAACTACTACTACGACTTGAACAAACTTGTCCACACCACAAAGCTCGTAGCTCTTTAAAGTCAAAGGTGTCGTTGCTTCTCCTTTTGTGTTTAGCACCTTGGTTTGAGAAGAATGTCAGTTAGCAACATTAGCATCATTAACATAATTGACTGATGTTCTGATGATGATGAACAGGAGACTAAAGAGCTTTTCTTGAACTATTTTCTTTCTGTGTTACAAATAAAGTCATGTGATTATTCAAAAAAAAAAATAAATAAACACGGCCTGATGATCCAACAGGAAGGATGTAACATTCTGAAATATACTCATATGTTTTAAGAGTTTATATTTTTTACTATATACTCGAAGCTTCTTTAGTGACTCTGATGTTTCCTTGTCCTTTAAGTGCACTTTTTAGTCCACTTGTCACACTTTAATCCAATCCTTTGCTTGGCCCATAGCCTGTGTGTTCTGATTAGGCCGTGGCACTGGTTAATACTGCATGGGCGGCCCAGCTGGTACTCATAAACACAGTCTCTCAGAGTGGAAGTCATCCTGTGGCGGAAGACAAAGTCTGTTGTTTTCTTTCCTTCTCCTTTCATTGTTTGATAAAAACCTAACAGGACGAGGACGTGTCATCAGTGACAGCCACAGGCTCTGACCACCATGTTGCGGTACTTTTTCAGAATGACGTTGGAGCTGTCGTCGAAGTAAAGCACCGAGATGCCGTGAAGCTGCGTCGGGGCACAGCAGGGCTTGGGCACAGACTCCGGGTTGATAAAGTGTACCTGTGGTTATAGAGGGGGGCGATAAATGAGTGCTCAACGGAAAAAAGTGAAAGTAGGCTCAAACATGGCTTTCTGTCTGGACTTACCAGAGTTTGCACGATGGCGTGATTTGTGGCGTTCATGTAGGAATTGAGAGGAAAAGCACATTCGCCTTCACAGTAGTATGCTGCGTAGCCATCTGGTGCTATGATCCAGTCCTGAACACGGGAGAAGATTCACAGGTTTGGTAAATCAGGATTAAATGTGATGTAAGTTAAATCAAGTCAGGGACAAATGATTTATACCTGCCAGCCCAGGTCTCTGAAACTGACAAACAACTCGTGTTTTTTACATCCTTCTTTAGAAAATCCAAGGTTATCTGGAAGAGAAATATTGAGAAAATGAGTTGAAATATTATGAAAAGATTCAAAAGACATTATAAACACAGCTAGTTTTGTTAGCAGTGACATTTAAGCCCACACACCTGTTGCGGCCTCTACTGCCTTCAGCGCATCCTGAACAGTTCTCTGTGGTTTGGAGCGGTTGGATTGGCGCCCCTTCTGGCCTTGAGCGGAACGTATACTGCGAAATCGAACCTCACTGGCTTTGAAGAAAACCACCATAAACGGCTGCTTATTCTGGGGTCTGCTGCCTGTAACCAGCCCCGCCAGGTGGGGATTCCTTCTCTGGCCTAGAGGGGGAGACAGAGTACACAAATTAGGTCAAAGAAAATCTCCTCCTGTACCCAGGCACTAAATGTCATGTTTTGTGAACTGAAATTCTTCATTCTAAAAAGATTTAACAACTATGTTATCTCTTTTTTTATTTATTAATTTTCACTTCATTTTGTGATTTCTTGGCCATACAGTTCATAACCTTAGAAACTCACCGTGGCCGTCTTCCACTACCAGGTGTAGGCCGAGGTTCTTCTCAGGTTTGACCAACCAAAATTTACTGGTGTGGGTCAGGTCGAAGACCAGCCAGCCGTCCTCTGAGGCCCAAATATGACGCTGGTCCAGCAACAACAGTTCTACCTCACTGAGACGAAAACAATGTTAAAATAAAGTTTGATGAGATTAAAGACATTGTTTTCAGAATAAACCTAATAAAATATAAGACTTAATGGCAAATAAAAACACATGGAGTCTTGGACAACACACGTAATATCTTGGATCATGTCAACGTCTCCCCCACAGTGATCAACCATATAATCAGAGTACTGTAACATCCAAGATAAAACGAAACTCTCGACTGATGTCTAGTCTCAGGAGCAGATCTGAAGGACAATAGATGTGTTTTCAGGCTGACTTTGAGACCTGCAGGCAGACGTCTGTCCTCTGGCCCTGCTGCCTGCTCGTCTACATGGAATAGCCTTTGTGTCTGTGCATGACAATAGAGTTGGCTTTAACAGCACTTTGAAGGGGAAATTCAGTTTCTCAAACGCACAAGTCTTAAATATAACTGGCAACCGGGAACAAAATGTATTCCTGCTAAAAATATATAAATTTAAGCAAATGTTTGACTGGGTGTCACTTAAACCACTGTGTAGTAAAATAAGAATATGTGGGAAAATGTGTCATTCACATTCCTGCAAACAAATACTGATTCACCACAATCATGTTTAAATATTTTCATGACTGTTTTTGTTTGAATTTACTTGAGCGTGACTTGAAATAAAAGCCACTGCCATAAAAAAACCACTACACAAGATAGACTGAAATAAAAGCCACTGCCATAAAAAAAAAACACTACACAAGATAGACTTTTTTTATTTCCTTCCTTTTTCTCAGAATCTGCGCAAAAGTGAATTACAGAATTTTCTGTCGTAGTCAGAAGAACATTTTTCAGCACAAGATAGTATAATTCAGGCATGTCACTGTTTACAAATACAAAAATGGACAACAGTCCTGACTCGTTTTCTTTAGAAACTTCTGGAAATGGGCATGAGCAGGACTGCAACCTGCATTATTGTTTTTTTATCCCCACCAATTCAAAAGTGAATAAAAAAGGTGCTAAAGATGATTATTTATGAGCTTGTCATAGGAAATTTTTAAATATTTATTTCTTAATTTCCTTGGCTTTCTACTACTTTTTCTAACTTTTATTAGATCACAAAAATAGTTTTGCAGTCTTGCACTAAACGTAGGATCGAGTATTTATTATTTTTATTATTATTATTATTTTCTCCCTTATACCAATTATTATTTTTATTTTTATTATTATTTTCTCCCTTATACCAACAAATATTACTATTTACATTACAGCTGTTTATACTATTTCTATTGTATTATTTCCATTTGTTATAACTATTATTATGAAGAAAGGTTATACTATTAGATTGACTGTATACATGTTCATGTTCATATCCCTAGATGTTGTTTCTCTGTTTCTATTGTTGTAAAATACTAGGTGTTCTGAACCAGGAATTGTATTTATTTATTTAATGTTCAGTGTTGAATACTAACACCTCTTATTTTTTTTCCACCTTTCAACCATTTCACTGCTGGTGTTTGGCTGAACTCGACAAATAAAAACACTTGTAAGTCATTATGTCACAATCTGTTGAAAACAATGTTTTGGTTAACAAACTGTCTATCTGTGTCAAGCAAAACATTCAAATCATGCTGAACTTTACTATGCATTTTAAAGTACTGACTTCTGACAAAGGAGAAACCTGAGCTCTCCTTTTAAGTCTTCTACTTGTAAGAGTTTCTTTTTCTTCTTCTACTTCTTCACTAATGGCCCCTTACAGGCTGAGGCAGAGAGGTTAATAAGGTACAGAGATTTTGTGATTAGGAATGATAGTAGACGTCAGATTTAGGAGGAAGTGGGCAGTTAAGAGTACAACTAAAATAATATCAAAAACAAAAAGCTGTTCCTGTTTTTATCCAATCTCAGACATGGAGTGAAACAGGAAAACAGAATGAGTAACACTGGAGCTGGCCAACTGACAGACCAAACAAAGACACAGACGGCCAGACAGACACACGGGAGAAAATCTGCACCTGTGTGACAGAGTCAGGAGTAAAATGACGTGTGGAGCACAAAGTGTTATTTGTGGTTGGAGCTGCATGATATAAATGCAGGTCTCCCGGGGACCTGTCCACTTCTGACTGAGTGTGAGCGAACTGGTCCTGGAGAGAACCGCCGTGTTTCTGTAATTTACACTAATGGCTGTGCAAACATGTCCATAGCTGACACTGACACTGGCAGAAATAATCAGAGGCAACATTTCAGCAGACACAGCACACGGAACAAAAAGCCAATAACTGTGATTCACAGTAAAGTTAGACCACGCTACTTCTAAAGACTTTAAATGGATTTGTTGAGAAATGTCAAATACAGGGAGATGCTAACTGGCTAACTGAAGCTCACTTATTTTAAGAAGATTGTACTAAACACTGCAAAAAAGTAACATTCAAAATCAATGGGATTATACAACATAAATTAGCTTTGCAAAATTGTTATCGTTAATTGTGATCATTTCTATCACAATAGCATTTTTAAAAGAAATTTTTTTTAAAATGCTATGCTATTTATGGCATTTATTATTTTGACCTTGACGTGTGGGTTGACCTCTACGTGTACTTGAAACTACACACCGTCTATTCTTGATTCATGAGTAAAAGAAGACAAAGTCATTATGTTGCGCTGCTATACAGCTGAGATTCAAGCAGCAAGCAACATTTATATAATTTAATTTTGATCTCAAATCTATTATCAAATCTATTTGATATTGTTCATATGGTCTTAATACAAATTTTTTTGTTTTTTGTTTTATATATTTAAACAAGCCATCATTGTCCCGCCTTAACAAACCTTTAGAAGCGCAATTACGTTTGTGTTTTGCCTGTTAAATGTTTTAAATAAATTACCAAACTACAGATTTGAGTTTTTATAGCGCCCAGCTATCTGGACAAAAAATAGAGGCTTATAAAAGGCTGGCTGGGTCCAGCCCCAGTCACTCAAAATGACTGGTGGTTAAAGAAAATAAAAATGTGTTTGTCGTCTAAACACTTGGTAGAGCCGTGCTCACAGTACAATATACTGTGGAGTCTGATTCCTTAGAAACTTGAAAGTAAATATAGCACTAAAATGAAAACACTCATACCTGTTTGAATGTGTCTGGAGGACCTGGTAAAGGCTGACTTTGAATGTTTCATTCTCCGACCGTTCCTGGATGAAATCTTTGTAAATCCTGAACTCTGCTGCTGTGACGGCCTCTCCCTCTGGAATACGGGAGAGGTCAAAGCGGAATTCTCTCCGGTGGTTCTGGTAGAGAAATTCCGGATCCTGGTCAACTGTGAGAATAAAAGTAGGTAATTTTTAGAAATGGCGTGTAAGAAGAACAGGTGTTTAATTTACCAAAAGGATGTTTCTTCCCACTCTTTGAGTTAATTGTTGACGATATTTCTGTCCTAAATCCCTGTCTTTTACTCACACACACGATAAAATAATGCTTCTGAAACTCTTGGGGAAAGAAAGTTTGTGCATGTGTGGAACCAAACCAAACCACAGAGTACAATCAGATGGTACACCAGCCAGTGGCCTCAGTTTTCTGTTGAAACTGTCACAGACTCAAAGGATTCTCTGATGTCTGCAATGCGCTGCCCACATCTCGGAAGCAGAGCTATAGGAAAAAAAAATCCAGCTGCCGTGGGCCAGGAGGTTGATCTAAACATCACTTAAGTCAAGTCTGCCATACATGCCATTGTGGGGGGAGAAAAAGCACACTCAGAGCTCAGCTTGGCTCCCTGTTTAAACTGCACACATGTGCTGAGCCACAAGAAAAGGCCTGTTAAGGCACTGCCCGGAAAACCACAGCAGCCTGTGTGCTTTTGCAAACACACTTAAAGTATAGAGAGCCACACAAATTCATGTGTGACTTAACTGCCAGCCTCTGCACCACCCACACCTCCCTGAGCACATTGCCATGTATATTACCATGCAGCGATTTTATTCTGATTGTAGAGGATAAGACGAAGCGGCAACCGGCGGGTGGCGTAAAGATGTCAGGTTTCCGGCCCGCCCTGACCCAGATGAAGCTCCTTCATGCTCAGAGTTTCCAGAAGAACAGGGTTCAGAGGCGACCTGACAGTTTCTTGGAGTGTTAGTGAGTGTGTTGTACATCAGCAGTCACTGTGCTGCTCCTCGGGAGGAGCTCTGCTGAAGGTGAGCAGAGCAGGGCACTGACATCAGCCACTTTAAACACACATCCTACCCAGTGGCGTACACTGTGACATCATCATGACATCACACGGCGTTGTGTTACTCGTAATCGCCCGGTATTGTTTTGAATAAAAGAGAGTCACATTTACACCTAGCAGCCCAGCGCGAAGAGAGCGAGAAGAGATGTCTTTTTCGGTATTGTTTTGAATAAAAGAGAGTCAAATTTACACCTAGCAGCTCAGTGCAAAGAGAGTCACATTTACACCTAGCAGCTCAGTGCGAAGAGCGAGAAGAGATGTTTTTTTTCTATTAGGGGAACACTTAAACACACACCTCGGCGTCTTCTAAAAACACTTCTAACGACACACAAGCACACACAACCCATTCGTCTTTAAGAGCAGCGCATTCTGAACCCTGCGAGTCATTTGTTTGACCGCAATTAAATGCTGGAAGGGAACGAGGGGTGTTTTTATGAAAGCAATAATTGCTTGTAAGGACTCGGTGTGTTTATGTTAGAGACCATTAGCTGCAGAGATCAGACCTCAGATATGCAAACTTCCTTCTGGGAGGCATTTCAACACTTACGAATTCCTCTGACACTGCAGGGCCACACAGTCATGGAGATATACTTAACCCAGTGCTTTTATAGTAAGTGGGAGTTTTTACAAATCAGTGTGGGTGGCTTTGGACGCATCACCCTTTCTGCACTGACACACAAGTCGGATGGATGATGGAAATGCAATGTGAACCATAAAATCCTGTAAATATTTTTTTCCTCAGTTCTTTTTCATTTATTAGGTTTACGCTAAAATGTGCTGTGAATACTGTTGGATGGTGTTACTCTTTAACTCTTTGCCTTGATAAAGCCAATTATTACGGTGAAATTCCTAGGGAAGCATCTCTTTAAATTACTTATTGCACTAATAGTACTAGTAATGCAGCATATGTAGTGAGTAAAAGTTTAATTACAGCGCTCCTTTGATTTGTTTTATTCAGTGTTAGCTTAAATACAAGGGTGGATATCAACTTTTTTAATGAGGCATTCAGCAGCCTTTGATGATGCACCTTTTCTGTGTAACACTCTGTGAAAAATCAACTCTATCACTGGCCAAAAATAAGCATTTGTCTACATTTTTTTAATGTAAGGTTGTGAGTACAGTCACAGTACTTGAAATTGCTAAATATATCCCAGTTAAAAAGTGCAAGTTGCATTGTTTGGTGTGGTATTGTGAAAACACAAACATGTCTTAAAAACTACAAAGTAAAAATGTACAATATCAATCCTGGGCCGTGGTATTGTGAAAACACAAACATGTCTCAAAAACTACAAAGTAAAAAAAATGTACAATATCAATCCTGGGCATGTTTAGTTGAATACCACCTTGATGAACTCGAAATTAATGAAATATGAAAATCTTCTTCAAAAGCTCTGAGTGTCTCTTGTTTAAATTCTTATAGCCTTTGAATGCCACCTAGTTGAAAATGAATTAAGTGTTCTGACTGTTACATTTACATAGACTAATAGGATAAAATAAATTCAGTAAATTATCAATAGTTTTTAGTCAACTCATACGACACGTGTCACGCATAACAGCATTAGAATTTGGCTTAAAAAAATTCAACTGTAAACGTTCATTATCACTGCAACTAGCAACAGTAAACAGAGAGGTATGTTTTTTTTAACGGACTAATCTGTGTTTCCATTTTGGGTTTTTTTTGACTGAGTAGTAGAAGTTATGACTACAGGGGGGCAGGTCTGTAACATGTATACTTAAAAAAAGAGGTAAAAACATAGAGAGCCTGGCCATGAGATACTGAGAAGGGGGATGGAGCAGGAAGTATTTCACCGCCAAATTTAGATGTTTAACAACGGGTTTCTTATAAAACATCTGTTATAAGTGTCTGTCATAAAAGGTTTATAACAGACACAAAGACTTGAAGGAACACATTTGGCCTTTCTATTCCGCCACAACTCTACTTTATACTGTGTTTTGATTCGTTATAAGCAAACTACACAGGAACAGTTAACAACAACCAAGTAATCTGAGTCCTTTAATGTGTTACTGGTTTTGTTTTGTTTTTTCTGAGCTTGTTTGTTTTTTGTTTTCTCCTAAATGAAGTTGACATTTTTTCATAACTTCTTGCAGAGGATGAGACGGCATAATAACATTGTCTGACTTAATAGAATGGGACAAGAGAAAATCTTCATATGATCTCCTCATGCTCCCCACAGATCAGCTTAGCAGAACAAACACATTTCATCTCGCCTGTTCTCGCAACCACAATACTCCTTCTGTTCTTCGGTAAAGTGATCATTCCTCCAACATTTAAAAGCACCGAGCCCTCATTCCTTTTTTTTCTCTTATTCCTCATTCCCTTTAATGAAACCCAGTGGCTTCTCTGGTCTTAAAGCCTTTTCCCATGCTCCGCAGGTGTGCTGTGATCAACTCAAAAAGGCCCTATAGTGAACGCATGTGTCCACATCTCTAGGCAAAAACTTAAGCAGCTGCAACCAGGGAACGGCAGAGTTGCGGAACAGCTATGACTGATAAGAGGTAAAGCAAAGCCAGATTGAGTGCATTTTAGAAACTAATGCACAACAGCAGCCTTGTGTAATGTGGCTCGATGACAACAAGACTGGTGTTTTCTGCTGTGAATCTGGAGCACAACCTGCGGTTTGACATTCAAACGGGAGTAAACACATGTGCAGTTGTGCACATGTATGGGATTCTTGCTTTACAACGTGACTACACAAGCTCCTCTTCGGTCACAAATGGAAAACAGTTTTTTTAAATTCCATCTATGGGAATTATTACAGGGCAAAACGGTGAGTACACGGGCGTTGTGTTGTTCCAAATAAGTAAATATTTCTACACTCTCCCTTGACTGCTCCCTGAAAACTGCTTTCCTTCACAGGAGTAAAGTACAATAATCCTCAATGAGGAAATAATCTACTATAGTCTTGAAACGATCATCCGAGGACCACCGAGATCGAAGCACCACAACATGATGTATCAGTGAGAATCAAAACATTCTGCTGATCATCAGCACCGGAGGCCATCGTGAGCCTGATGCTGAAATATGACTAATCCACTGTGTTCTCTATATAATCGGAACTCTACAGATGCGGGACCACATGAAGCTGTTGTTCATTTTCAAAAAACAATGTTTCCAGATCTCATTAGCCTGAGACTGTAAGTTAGACATTCATGGCTGAGGACATAAAATTTAATGTGATGCGTTTAAGATTTTAGTTTTACAGTTTCCAAATGGTAAGCATTAACTACATTGTTATGGTTGACTGAAAAAATAACTATGGCTTCTCAATTAAAACGTTCTTCGCTTCAACTCTCTCTCTCTCTCTCAAACAATCAGAAAATATATTTCAAGAGGATACATCTGCGATGAAGGAACTCTTTTCTCCCCGTGTTGACCTACAACCCTCCTCCAACCCTGAAGGCATGAGTGGGCCACTAAAACACATGGACTGGTTTTGGATGTAACTACATCCGGATCTCAGCTGTGGGCATCGTGCAATCTGCTGATTTCACCATGGGGATATCGGAGCTACTTCAGGATCTTCAAAAGTAGGAGTTGCCTTTCTTCAATTCAGCGAGTCTTAAATCATGCCTATGACCCCCGCAATTAAGAAACCTCTTCCAAGAAAGATTCAAACAGATTAATGTGAAATCCATGAACATCTGTACTGGACTACTGCGATAACATGTGTTTAGATGCATGTTCAATCCTGAGTAATGCAGAAGAAAACCAGGCTGAAGCCCTCCACCCCCCACCTCCCCCAGCCTACCTTCCACAGCTTTAGAGAGGAATCAGATACAGATTGTTGTCATAACGTTTACAGTGTGGAATAAATGTGGCCCACTCAAAGGGAAGAAATCGACCAAAATGACACATATTGTCTAAATAAGCATTGAGTTGTGACTGGGGAAAAGATTGGCACAGGTAAATTTTTCTTTAAGGTAAAACTTTTAAACTGTCTTATACCTGTTAATAAAAAAACTATATTAGAGTATCAATATTTTTTATATTTTAAGTTGTATATTATACCACTTCCATAGATACATAATACAACATCAGGTACACATTTATAAAACCACAATGAACATGTCAGAACATGCCTGTGGTGATGGTGTCTTCACCATCCACTCACATTCTAATTGTTAATCACCAACAATTAGAAGATACTTCCTCTTAAATTGATTAAATGATTATTATTTTGACATGTGTCCCCTGTTCTTCCCGAAAAAGTAGCCGACTACAGAACACACTTTTTTTTTACAGTTTCCAGTGTTTTAGCAGATTATTAACATTTTGGTTCATTTGGCATAGAAGAATCTCAGTGAACCTTTTTTTTTTGTCTTATGCATATTAAGCAGAAGTCACTACACTTGTTCTCCACATTTCAGGCAGATATTTCTGGTAACTCCACGAATTTGTTTTGTGGATATTAAAAACCAAAGATGGAAAGACATCTTAAATTTGGGTTTAGTTATGTTCAGTACTTGTCCAACTTTTGGTGGATGCTCATTTGATGCCTAAGATTGGTAACCTGACCCATGATAAGTTTACCTGCTTCAGGGCAAAGCTACAGGATGTTACATTCTTGCTTTAATAACAATGGTTTAGTTTGGTATATGTATACGCAATTTGCATAGTACAAGAAACTATAAGAGACTACTGACGTGATTTTAAAAAAAAGTAAACAGTAAACGTACCGAGGTTGACAAAGCTCATCACCATGTCTGCATCACTTAGGAAACGGTTGTCCTGTGGAGTCACCATGGGGGCCTGGTGCTGGAAGACGGACTTGTAGGAGTAACTTTGCGGCTGCGTGTCAGTAGAGATGGTGTTGTACAGGTCCAGCATGAACATCGGAGCAGCGTCATGTTTGGTGTGGACCAGCGGCCGTGGACGGTGCGGCAGCCCCAGGATGGAGAGGATCTCCCGCTGCATCTCCCGTCGCTCTTGGCTGCGTAGCCGCCGCTGGATGAAGCTGGAGCGCACCTCGTTGTCCGCTGAGAAGTTGGAGAAGAAGACCTGCGTTGCCATGACACAGTAACTCAACGACACGAGGGTCGCCACTGTCGCGTAAGCTCTCGTTAGCATTTTACGCAGCTTTACGCACGGCTGTAATGAGGCGAAATAGTCGGATCGAAGATGTGGTGGGTTTTATTTAGCGTTTCTTCGTGTGGAGGAGTCTAATAGTCGGCTCTGAGTATCACCACTTCACCCTGCGGTAAAATGAATGCCGCTGCGCCGTGCGCTCTTCTGGATAGATGGCAATTTGGGATTCGGCTTTAATGCGGCTGTGTCAGGGGAGGGGCAGAAGGGTCCAGGGTGGGATAAGCCAACGCTGGCGAGTTTGGGACAGGGAGTGGATCCGTCTTTTCGTAGAATGCATGCACTTTTCTCTGTGTATAATGAGATGCTAATTGTATGTGGACTCATTTAACACAACAGTCTCATCAGCATTACTTTTGTTTGGTCAGAAGTACTCGGCCATCGATGAAAGCCGGGCCTAATTAGTATGAGACTGGCCCGTACACTGTTGTAACTGAGCTGTAAATAAGAACAGTCCTATTCAATAAAAAAAAATCCATAACTATAAAAATGTTGGACATTAAAACACCACTGTCTACGTTTCCAGACGTCATAATTATTATCAATTATATATTGACTTAGAAAGTTAGTCAGTGAATATTCTGAATATACTATATTATGTAAGAAATCATAGTTGCATTTCAATGAGTTAACTAAGTTAAATTTTGTTATAGTATTGTTCATGGGCTCAGCAGCTACATGTTTGTTAAAAGGGAGCTTGCGTTTCACAATCGTCCCATTTGTAGAAACTGGGCCTGAACACATACCTAAACACTATAAGAAGTCTAAAGGTAGAAAGAGGTAAATCCCATAATCCCTTCTTCAACACAGACACCTTTGAACTCAAACAATAAAGTCACACCCACCCTAATAGTTGAGGGGGTCTAAGTAATCAGCAGCAGTCCAGGTACAGGATGGGACATGCCAATGGCTCCTATGAATTACTACAGCCATGTGTAAAGCACTCCACTGATAGAGAGACTTGATGGTTTGGGGGTGGGTGGAATAACAAAGAAAGAAAAGAACAGATTCATGTCTTAAACCTGAGGTTTGTGAACAACAGGGAATGGATCATAAAACTCAAGGGAAATGGTTAATGTGTCACAGGCCTGAAACCAAAATGTTTGTATAGAACAACCTTCCGCCCCTGAATTACACTCACTACGGTGAACTTCCTTTGGCTGTTTAAAATAAACCACTAATCTGTTTAATAAACAAATTCCTTTATTCCTTAAATAATCCAACAGAGCAACGATGTCCCAGTAAAGTTACATAATGTGAATCGATCAGCAAAACCCAAACATCCCCATTCTTGTTCTCATTATCATTATCATTATCATTATCATTATCATTATCATTATTATTATTATTATTTGTAGATAAATTTTAATCTGTCTCAAAGTCATTCCTTAAATACTTTTGAAAGTCATTTAAAAATGTAAGTTTGACTTAGTTTTCTTTCACTGACGCTTATGTTCAATACAAACAAATCAACAATGTTTTGTAGCACATTTGATGTGGTGGTAGATAACGTAACTGCCAATGAGTAAAATACAAAAGATAACACACAGGATTATGTTCTACTTTCATTTACTGACTTTAGGTTCCACACTGCCACCAAGCGTGGTTCTTTTGTATCTGCATCACTTTTTTTGACTAGTACGTCACCAAAGTGCGACACACGGAGAAGTTAGCGCCACATTTTTGTTGCGCTAAATTATTTCGGAAATTTCTACTGCCGCTGTTCTCGCTTTACACACAACCAAGAATAAAAAAATCTGGTATGTATGTGCATGTTACTGAGACTGTGTGTCTCAAGGGAGACGGTGTTTGCATGTAATGTTTAAAGAAAAGGCAGCGAACAAGGCTAATGCTCAGTGAAACTGACTTAAGCTAACTACCATTCTCCCTATTTCAAATTAATGTATTTGCACCATGGTCAAATAAAAAGGTAATATGTAAGATGTTTTACACCCAAACATACGTAGTGGGTCGCTTACAAACCGCGCTTGTTATAAGGCAAACAGTGATAGCGGATGCAGCTAGCGTTAGGGGTTCCATGTGTCAAATAATTTTGCCTCCGATAGGGGATATAATCTAAGCACAATTTAATTTATTTTTTAACTACACGTGTTACAACACACCATTGGTTGTTGGCTGTGACCGTAATAATTTTGACGGTCAAGCTTCTAAATAGGGGCTGTACACAAACAGTGTAGTGTAGATGCATGGTCTGGAGAAGCTTCTGGACACTCCATTTGATTGGTCCCCAATCAGAAACCTACTAAACTGACGTTTAATGTGTAAACACGAGGAACTGGGGAATGAGACCAAAGTAAATGTTAGCTAAGCTCATGATTTCTGTGAAATATAACGTCAGAAAACAGGTCTCACACATACAGCTGTTGTTTTCACTTTAAAAAGAAAGTCACTTTAATAAAAGAAGAAAGAGTTTTGTGATGTGTTAATTCTAAGCCTTTTTCATATGAGAAGAATAATTGTTAAAGAATAAATAGAATAAATATTCTGTTTGTTGCTTGTCATTTAGGTAAACCTTAGGGGTTACCTTAAAGCACCATGAGTTTGTTTGGGGCAAGCTCTGGGTTTGGACAGGGAGGGACCAGTGTCTTTGGAAACACAACAACAGACACCCACAATCCCATGAAGGTAAGAGAAAAAAAATAATTTGGTCTGCGTGATTTAATTTATTATTACATGGTTCACATGGTTTATCTTTATGTGTCACTCAACCTACAGGATGTTGAAGTGACTTCTCCGCCTGATGACAGTATCAGCTGTCTAGCTTTCAGTCCACCCACTTTGCCAGGGAACTTCCTTATCGGAGGATCATGGGCCAATGACGTGAGGCTTTTTCTTTTAAAAAAAAACTACCAGTATAAATCGAAGGTATTTTAACCTGTCAATATTCTCACGAATAAAATAAAAAGTGTGTAATTGAGTTTTCACTATCCAAGTCTTGAGATCCTAGTCCCATAGCTTTATGGTTACTACCTTATTATTATATATATATTATTGTAATCGGAAACATTTTATATAGTTTTTTCAGAGTTAAACTTTTTTTTTCTTTCTGACAATCAGGTAAGGTGCTGGGAGGTGCAGGACAACGGTCAGACGGTCCCTAAAGCCCAGCAGATGCACACTGGTCCTGTGCTGGATGCTTGCTGGAGTGACGTGAGTGACAGAGAATTAATCATGCAGGTTTTATCAATGCAAGTAGCTCTAATGGTAATATTTTCATCTTGCTTTCTCTTTAACCAGGATGGGAGTAAAGTCTTCACCGCTTCCTGTGACAAGACGGCCAAAATGTGGGATCTTAACAGCAACCAAGCCATGCAGATTGCACAGGTTGATTAAAAGTCCCAAGAGCAATTTCTGTGCTTTTAAGGCTGACGAAGAATAAGCTGAACACCATCCATTGCTGTTTACACTGTTCTTTATTCTATTATCTGTGATCATTCAATTTTTCCAGTCAATATTTTGGCAACAAATTGATTTATTTAAATCTAACATATGTCCATGATTTCTTTTTCAGCACGAAGGTCCTATTAAATCTATTCACTGGATTAAGGCCCCCAACTACAGCTGCATAATGACTGGAAGTTGGGACAAAACACTGAAGGTAAATCATTTTTCCACATTATCATTGTTGCTGAATTCCAAAGAGTCATTTAATAAGAAAATGTTTGTTTTCAATGGCTAAAGATGAGGAATGAGTGCATTGTAACACATGTACTGATGCAGGTTGTCTGTTTTTCATTTTATTTTTTTTGTTGTTTCAATTTATGACAAAAAACCTTATTCACACGAATTTCCACCTAAGGGAAATTACAAGACCAAATACTAAGTGAGAATAATTTTTTCTCACTCCCTAGACGTTTTCTCCCTAGAGAAATTTTGAACCAAGTCTGGCATCAGAAAAATTACATTTGTTGTTTTATTTACTTCAGTTCTGGGACACGCGTTCTCCCAATCCCATGATGACGCTGCAGATGCCAGAGAGATGTTACTGCGCTGATGTGGTAAGTGATGGTCGTACAACTTGTACGATACACAGTTTAACCTTTGCCAGTGTTTCCTTTGAATTATGGTTTGTTTTACATGTAGGTTTACCCCATGGCAGTGGTCGCAACAGCTGAAAGAGGCCTGATTGTGTACCAGCTGGAGAACCAGCCCTCTGAATTTCGCAGAATAGATTCTCCTCTCAAACACCAGGTATACATTACATTATATATATTTTACTTTAACGTATCATAAATTCACTTTTTTTTTGCCAATTGCTTTAAAAACTTTTTCAGTTCTCTATGGCCTTTTAACTGATGTACTTTGCGTTTCTTTCCTTCATGGTCTTGTAGCATCGCTGCGTCGCCATATTCAAGGACAAGCAGAACAAACCCACTGGCTTTGCGCTGGGAAGCATTGAAGGTCGAGTGGCCATCCACTACATCAACCCCCTAAACCCGTACGTGTTAAAAGCATCGGCTTTTCACAAGTGCCATTTTGAAGTATTGCCCCTTAGTAACAACAACGGAGTGCCGTTAATTAAGTTTAGTTTAAACATATTTGAATTTAATGGTGTTTACTCTACTTGAATGAGACACTGCCCTTACTGTAAAAAGCCCAGAGCAAATGCAAATAAAACTGTTTGCTGATGTCTTTCAGAGCCAAAGACAACTTCACCTTTAAATGCCACCGGTCCAATGGAACCAACACAACCACTCCACAGGATATCTACGCTGTAAGTAATGCTCAACAAATGTTTACATTCTAATTACTTTCTTCTTTTGTGGAATGCGGACATCTTTGTGTGTGACTGATTAGCACGCCTTCTTTACAAGCAAAGAGCAGAGAGTTCGATTCCCAGAGGAACCACATATCCCAACTGGCTTCTACTGTTTGGCAGCCCATGAGTTGCAACCACATTGTTAATGGCACCTCCTCTGGCAGCTTGTGTTGGTTGCAAAGATTCACACTGTAAATGTTTCCCATTGTGAAACAAATCAGCGATTCTATTATTATTGTTGTTGTTGTAAACAATGTGTTTTACAATTGTTACATGGAACCAAATTAGTTCACACACTGAGAGAACACCTTGGCAACAGTGAGGTGAAAATCTCTTTTTTATCAAGAAGTAATCTGTACCAGATCCAGATGTTGTCTTTAGTCTTCTCCTAATAAATCAGAAAGCATCGCTCCGATTCAGATAGTCATCGACTCAGTTATTCTAATGCAAGAAATTATATATTTTTGTGTATTGTAACTGACACTTCCTTGCACCAGGTGAACGCTATCTCCTTCCATCCTGTCCATGGCACACTGGCTACTGTTGGCTCAGACGGGCGATTCAGCTTCTGGGATAAAGACGCCCGCACCAAGTTAAAGACATCAGAGCAGCTTGACCAGCCCATAACAGCCTGCTGCTTTAACCACAATGGCAACATTTTTGCATATGCTTCAAGTTATGACTGGTCAAAGGTAAGAGTATTGAAGTCTTTACCAAATTATTAAACAAACAAAGTTGTATTTTTCACTTCTGTCATTCGCTGCCTGTCTTTTTTATCCCTTAGGGGCACGAGTACTACAATCCCCAGAAAAAGAACTACATCTTTCTAAGGAATGCTGCAGAGGAGCTCAAGCCTCGGAACAAGAAATGGTGAGAGAATCGCAACTACTGTCCATAAATCGGAAGACAGCGGTCGCTGGACAGGGCTGCCCCACTTCCTTTGCCCTGTGACTCCATAAGGGTCCTCTCGAGGCATCCACTCGTCTGCACCGATGTGGCAGTGGAGATGCTGGCGTTGTGCAGTCTCACCATTTCAGTGCATTGCTACCAATAGCCATTATTTAATGGGTTTTTGTGGGTGCTGCACACCTTGGTGATGTGATTCTTAGGGTCGCTTTTGTCTGCTCTATCTGTGTAGCCAACTGCCTAGCAACTGCCCATATTACTGCACATTATGTGCACAAAAGCTACTACATTCTAGAAAATGCAAAAGTAGCACTACTGTGTTTATACCAGAAAGTTAAGCCTTAGTAATGACCTGAATCAAGCTGACATTACAGTGATTGGTCAAAAGAGTGAAGATTTTTATAAAAATAATATAAAAATGTATCTAAAATACAGCTGACTGTCATGCAACTAATCATGATGCCAATGCAGATATTATACATGTTTGTTTAGAAACAACCTGCCTACAATATCTTTAAGCAACATAGTTAAACATAAAGATTCTGGCAATCAATAGAATCAGACTCCTTTTGTTGAGCTTCAATTTTCTTGCTAACGAGTCATTTTTAGGCCGTGTATTCTATGCACAGGGGGATACAATGAGATTGCCTTAAAATAAATAAAACATAAAAAAATCTGAATGGTTGTTCTTGTGACTGACTGCTCCCTCCTGTCTTTAGATTCATCGTGTCCAGTCGCATCTCTGTGGAAGACCTGCTGCTTTAGTGTGTGTATACTCTCGAGACAGACTCCTTCCTTTCGGCAAACACCTGGACCAATGCTGTGGTGCTGCATGTACTGTGCATGGACCAATCAGAGGGGCCCAGACAACCTGGCGTTGATGGCGACGGCTTGACTTTAGTTCAGAAGGGAGGGCTTTTATTTTTCTCAGTCATCATGGTGTCTTTTTATGTTTCAGTGTCCAGCTCTTACTTCTTTTTTCTACATTTTTTCCCCAAAGACTTTAAACTTGTTTTTTTTGCTTTGATGTTAATCCATGGTTTAGCAACATTATAGGAATTGGGACACAATAATAAATGACAAAGTGCTTACTGTTAGATGTGAACAGATTTATTTCAAATGCAGGGCTTACATAAGGTGAACAGATTTTGTGTATGTTGTAACAGTATTTGTGTGGGAATGTTATTATGTACATGTAAAAACTGCGAGCACCATTATAAATCCTAGCCGCAGGTCCAACCATTGTGTAAAAATTGAGCCAATGAAACAATTGCTACAGCCAAAATTGAAGAACTGTAAACAGAACTCCTTCACTGACCTCTTCAGTGCTTGTGTTAAACCAAGTTAACCAGCAGGGTGAGCCTTTAGCCATGAAATGTCCTCCTCTGGTGCTGACTTCTAGGAACAGACTACAATGAAAGGAGCCGGGGCCTCAGAGGGTACATGAGATCAAAGCAGGACGGTGGGGCTCTTCACTGGAGTAAAGACCCCTTTGACAGTGACACAGCTGGAAATTGGGGGGGGGTTATCAAGAGGATATGAATGTGGTGACCATGGCAGCTACAAAGACCATGTGTGAAAGTTGAACCAGTTCATAGAGGAGAAGGTGTGAATTAAATGCCATTTTATTGAGGTCATTAGAGTATCACCTTACTGTTAGCTTGACCCAGGGTACTTAGCAGGAGAAATGCAAAGGCACTGAGGGCGGGAAGTTACTCTTGATACAGTTCACTGGCTCGTCTCAACTTTCACGTGGGGACGCTTCAGACCACGGATGTCTACCATCCCTGTCCTTCAGCTGAACTAAGTCTCGGTTGAGTGCACTACCCTCCTGACAGTGCCTTAAATTAGACCTTTTCCATCAGAGTTTCTAAAACTTAAATTAACTTGTTGCTTTGCTGCACAAAGACTGTCAGTGCATGCAAGTAAGTAAACACAACTAGAGCACTGGAAAACCCATGCACCTTACCTCTGCTGTTTATTTCTAAACGTACCACCATCACTGTTTTTGACAGTTTTATCATACACATGTACTTATATTTATGAGTAAGGGTAGATAATTTAAGGACCTTGTTTCATCATGTACTAATCAAACAGAAGCAAAAATTGAAAAGCAGATTTTAATATGACAGAGCAGTGTATCCTTATACCCTGGTGGTTAATAATTTACAAATGACTGCATCTGTACAACTCAGATTTGACCAAATATACCCTATATGTAGATTTATTTCAGGGCCCAAAGTAAAAATGAAATGAAATCCCTTAAATAGTTTTGTCAGATTGTTGAGCAAATGTGCTCAATAATCGTCAATGATTTCTGGAATGACTGAGTATCATACCTTTATTTAGTCTGAATCACACAGAAGCCAAAACTTGTGATGCTGAGGAAACATGTTTTGATAAAGGGTTGTGATACACTAATACTGGGACTAAGTATTGCATGCACTATTCTGTTTATTTAAAAAAATGTCAATGTGGTGAAGAGACTTTGCAATCGAGTATCAATTATTTTAAGCCATATTAATACGTGTATTTTACCATTCACACATGAAGAATGCTTAACACAAACACTTTACTAGGTTTTAATCGACAAACGTAGCAGTTGTTTTGTATGATGATAAAATTCCAGTCCTATCAGACGCCTGTTACATGAGTTTGTTTGTGTGCGTTATGTGTCGTGACATGGTGATAGTGACGTCAGAGTAGAGCATATTAAATTGTGTGGTTGAATTTCACAAATGTGAACGGACCATATACCCTAGACAATGAATTCTCCATTAGCGTTGAACTACACCATGTGGCTTCTTTCTTGCTTCCGTACTAACTGTACGAGTGTACGAGCTTTTCTTTGTGCCATGAAGGACAAAAGCAGGTGCAGCTCAGCGCCGGGAGGAGGTGGGCCAATGAGAGAACGACGCTACCCCAACCGGCACTCACCAACAGCCCAGATTGGATAATAGTTCAGCGCGGGCGTGGCTACAGTCACGGGATATAAAGTCTCCTCCGCACTTTGCTTTCCGTCGTTCGGTTAGAAGCTTACTAGTCGTGACGTGCGCAGAGGGCTTGAGGGAAACCCAGATGTCATCAGGTTCTTACGAGAAAAACGGTCAGGAAGGGGTAAAGTCGCTGATGGTGAAACGCGCATAGTTTGTCCTCCAGTGTGCCTGTCTTTGGTCTTCTTGCCGGCCGACCCATGCTTCTTCACCAGTTCATGAACGGAGCTCTGGACGTCATGCATCCCACAGCGCTTCAGAAAGACACCACTTTCACCAAGATCTTCGTCGGCGGGCTGCCGTACCACACCACCGACGCCTCCCTCAGAAAGTATTTCGAGACCTTCGGGGAGATTGACGAGGCGGTAGTGATAACGGACAGACAGACCGGGAAGTCCAGAGGATACGGCTTTGTAAGTACCAACAAGTCCGTCTGCACGAGGACCCATACTAACGCTCGACTTTTGTTCCAATTGCGTTGTTTGTCAACCGCTTTTACAGTTACAATACTTCCGCAATATAGCGCGTTTCAAGTGCTTTGTTTCTACATGACAATCAACTTGAATGTGTAAATGTCCATGTGCGGTCCAAAGAAGTTTGAGGGCCCGAAGCGAGTCGGGCTGGGGGGGGGGGTCTCTAATGTCCATCCCTTTAAAGAAGAGCTTCTTATATTATTTTATTTGAGTGATTCGTGATTTTAAACAACGTTTTGTAACTGTTTTGTTTAGTGCATGTACCTTTACAGTCAGCATGTATGACCCCCTCACCCCCTTTGTGGCTGTCACTTCGTTTTGGGATTCAAAAAATGTATTATTCTCCTGCTACTTAAACTCCTTACATCCAGTTAGTTAGTCATTGTGTCTTTCTGTTTCTCAGCATAGCAAAACAGAAAAGTGGCCATGGCTGGAAGTTGAGTCATCTGTATATTGGGTACATAGATATTAAAAGATTATTGTAGATCAAACGCAATACATGCCCCTTTAAGCCCCTCTTTACACTGTTTGTTGTCTTTACATCAGGACAGCCAGTCTGTCACACTCAGATTAAGGTTATGTCGGTGATTAAAAATTACTTTAAGATTAGGCTAAATAACTGCTGTGGTAGATGACAACCTTTCTGGCTAGTCTTTTATTATTATTATTATTATTATTATTATTATTATTATTATATGTTGTGTATGTTGAATATCCCACTGTAACACAGTTGCTCAGAAGTCCCCGCCCACGTCTGTTATTTTAGCCTAATGAGGATGAGGGGTCACACAAGTTGATGTGTAGCTAAGAAGATTATTTTTTTTAACATATGTTGGATGCACTGTAAACCTCCTGAAGACGCCCCCCACCTCCACATGCACGCACACACACGCGTACACCTGAATTTTCTTGTTCTTTAAAGTCTTATAACATTCTCAACTGAAATATTGCTATTTTAATCATGTGTGTTGTCTGACATTTCACACTGTATACACTGTAATGAACTGTTGTTAAGATGCTTAATGCTGGATTCCATTTTGATTCTGACAGATAATATATACTTCTGTGCCATGTTCCACTTTGTTTTGCACTGTTAAAAAAAAAACATTAAAATGAGAAAACCCTCCTCTAAGAAACAAGTCCACGCAGTGTCCATGTTTCAAACTTAAAAATAGAAACAGGCCGTTTTGGACTAACTCATTATCCAGGGTGGTTCATGACGTAGAGAGTGGAGCAGAAGAACTCTGGCTTGGCCCTTAGTCATATTAAAATAAATATGACACTGCTGCATTGATGTCTAATGTAAATTGTCAGCATGTTCATGTAGGCAGATCGGACGGGGCTGCTTTTCTCTCTGTCTCGCTCTCTCTCCCTTTGACACAAAGCACACAAACAGGAGCCGTTTGAGATATGCAAATATTTACCAGATCTCTGTAAAGATTCATCAGCACTAAATATATTATCAACCCAAAGAAGGAATGGAAAACTCCTAATGTGGGCCTCCTTACTTCTAGGGGTACAAAAGTAAGTCAATTGCTCTCTGCCCTCCAATCCAGAGGGAAGCTATTTCAGGAGTTAAACTGCTATCAAACGGCTGCATATTGAAGCCGGTGTTTCAGGTTGAACAGGCTCGGGGCCATGCTTGTGCACGCACACACACGTGCACATTATTAGAGGGAGAGAGAGAGAGAGAGAGAGAGACACAGACATGTTGGTGAAATGATCAGCACTTAATGTCAGGCGCTCTTTTCTGTCAGGCATTAGACAATGTGCTAATTTTGTTTCTGATTGTTCCACTTGAATGAGGTAGCTGGCAGGGTGGGGGGATGGAGGGTTCCAATGCTGCTGAGTGCACCTTTTTTTTCGTCTAAACACACTAGAGGTGGATTAGCAAAAACCCCCACAGCAAAAAGTCTTCACAGTGTAAACACCACCCTTCTCCTTCCTGTGTTCACAACACACGGCCTGGAGTGGGCTTTGTTTGGGATCCTATCTTTACGTAGAAGTTGACTGTTGTTTTCTTTTATGTGCACTTTGTCTTCCCTTAAACAATGCGAGCTGAGGCTCAGTCCATAGGCCCGGAGGTTACTTAACCCCTCTGACTTGGCAAGAACATGGCAGTGGAGGCAGAAGAGCGCTAATGCCAGGACAAAGAGAGGAGGGGCAGACTTAATGCCAATCTTCTTAATATTTGTTCCTAATAGGATAAGCTCCTTGTTCCTCTTCCCAGGTCCATATTTCGGCAGCCTTGCCCGTGGCTAAGTGGCAGTCAAGTGGCTGGCTACTGCTGCTGTGGGCAGCTTTCAAAGCTTAGCATTGTGCTTTGTTTTTCGTTTCCCTCTTTCTCCAGAGAAACAAACTGAACAGTGGAAGCCTGTGGTGGGATGTGGTGATAAGACCACAGTAGATCTAATGGTACAAAAGTGGGGCTTGTATAGAGGGGTGAGGGGTGTTGAGAAAAAGTTTGAAATATGAAAGTCCCCCTCACTGCTGATGTTTCAAGTTAAAAATGATTTTCAAATATTTTTGTCCTATTTACAACCTGCTAAATTTGCTTTTTATTGGCCTATGTTTGCTTTTTTTATCATACAATGAATGTTTTTTTTCTGAATTTTTAATGTCTGTCTTATTGTATCGCTAGGTGACAATGACAGACCGTACTGCAGCTGAGAGGGCCTGCAAGGACCCCAACCCCATTATTGATGGCAGGAAAGCCAATGTCAATCTGGCCTACCTGGGTGCCAAGCCACGCAGTATACAGACTGGTAAGATATAGTTCATTTGATGCTGCTGTTTAATCATCTGTTGGCCAAGTGTGTTGCTGCTTTCATCAGAACGATAATGAAATCACTCTTGAGGACAATGCCTCAACTTGCCCGGTGTGAATTTTGTTCGTGGGGTTGTTAGGATTTCTCAAAGCAATATTTTTTTTATTAGGGCACTTGATTTTGCTTAATACAAACAAGTCATTTTGGACTTATATACAGTGTTTTGAATTTGATCAAATGGTAAATTCAAAAGAGTAGCACCTGTGAGTAAATCTTGGTTAATTTAGTTCTTTTTGATCATTTATACACTATACATCAACAATCTGTTTCTTTCACTTGCTTTCCCTTTTTACTTTTACTTATCACGGACATCTTTTAACAGTCAGTCGTTACATATTCCAAGCTGTGGATCTGATACCGACTCTGCCTCCGACTCTCCATGCCCTCTGTGTATTGTTCTGCAATCCTCCTCTGTAAATGCAAATGTGTGTCTGACAGCTGCCCTCTTATCTCGCAGGCATATCCATCGGAGTGCAGCCCATTCACCCAGCACTCATCCAGAGGCAGTATGGGTAAGTGAGTGGGAGTGGGCGCCTGTTGTGTTCTCTTGTCTTTCGCTCTGTGGGACACCACTAGCCTACTATTTATTTGACAAACGGGGCCTCTGGAAAGTACATGTCAGTTTCTGTGACCGCATTCTCCACAAGTCGTCTGTTAGCATATTTGAGCTGAGGGAGATGGTTCACATGTTCCTGATAATGGAGGAGCATTCCAGAAGTAAATGTGTGACTCCTGTATCAACTTCTGTTGGGAGTCTTTTGACCTTAACGCCAATCAGTCAGCTCTTGTTAATGAGAAGGCGTCCAAGGATTTACACATTTTTTGTTTTAACAAAACTTCCTTTTCCTCCCTTGAAATCACTGTTATAAGAATATAGGTGTAGTACTAACTGCTGGTGCCATTTTCAGTTGATGAGGACTCAGATCTTCAAAATAACTTTTTTGTTTGGTTCTATTTAGCAATGACTCATTATCAGCTATAAATAAAAATGGGGGGAAAGGTTTTGTAATTCTATAAATCTTTAAAGTTTTTTTCTCACAGATTTCAGAAATGACCATTGATTGGGGTTTACAGCCATACCTCAAAAGAAATTTTCTGTCCACAAACAAAGGTCACGTTAACTATCATTGTAATTTCCTCCACCTTATTGTAGCATAATTGACATTCCCAAACTTAAAAAATGTTTTTCAAGTGTTTAACTTTGTGCTTAGGAATAATCTGTAGAGTCTGTGTTGTACAAACAGCTAGGACTGAGTCAGAAGACATGGTCTGCTGAGCAGCTAATGAGCATTTTACTGCAACAGTGATCCTCCTCACCCCCACGCAGCAGTCACATATCTCCTCACCACTCACCCTTTTGTCTGGCTTTTAAAATGCAACCTTATATCTGATGACAAAATCTCAAGATGGGTATTATTTTAAGTGCACATTGTGACGGTTCCCTTTATGCAAATGAGGGGACACACTTCCTCATTTCACAGAACGCTGACTGGTTGATTAAACAAACAGTAACTCAGTGAATAACAGCTTGGTTGAGTGTTGAGTTTTTTTTTTGTTTTTTTTTTTTTTTAATATACAACCCATGGTTTTCAAACATTTGCCAGACTTGACTTTTTCCCCCAGTTTGTTTGGGCTACACAATTTCCACGGAGACACAGTCTCGTGGTCATTGGTGGACTATACCCTTAAACATACTCTTCACATACTGAAGCCATAAATCCCTCACTCCCTTCAACTCTGTTAGTGTCTAAATCCTAAATCCATCCCTGCAAATGAGAGCAGTCCAACCTTCTGTTCACCTTAAATCCCAGTGTTCCCTGTTAGCACAGGGAACAGTGACGGCACCAAAACTCCCCCAGTGTGTGAACCGTGGAGCTGAAGACTGCTGTGTCTGACAGGTGCTGGCTCATATTACAGCTTTTTTACAGCCCCTTAATTGTCCCATGACCAACACCCTGTAGAGGCGCACATAGCACCTGTCCATCTTTTTGGGGCCTCATCAAAAGTTGTTTTTTTTTTTTTAACTCCAGCATCTTCCCCTAAATTCCCATGACAACATATCGTGTAGTGACAAGATCTACTGTAGTTGTGTGTTTTCGTCACCAAGTAAACAGGCCCTAAATTTGTTATCAATAGATAAAGTAGAAATATATGGTTAATGGTTTCTGGAGTGATTTTTAATCCTCACTCCCCAAATCATGTGTAAACAATTTTTTGCTGTGACTTTAAAATGAATTTTGGCAACAAGTTACAATTAACTCTCAAATTTCTTCCAGGTGTAAAGCAGAACATATAACAGTTACAGTGAATTTTAGTAATGGGTTTAGATGGATCAGTTCTTACCAAGTCATTGGATAGTTATTGTAAGCCAACTTAGGTTTACTATATACAGAACACACACTACTTTTATTTAATGCTTAAAGCAACTATAGGTTTACTATATACAGAACACACACTTTTATTTAATGCTTAAAGCAACTGGAATTGCATTGTAAACCTGACTTCTCACTCAATTAAGATGTAAGAAACTTTTTTTTTTAATGTTGGGTTAAAGATAATCCGAGCCTTTTCAGTTTTGCCAATTTTATATACCAACCGTTAAAATGGAGAGAGTGAGGAAAACTGACACCTCTGAGAGGGTGGGGGTTAGGAGTTGATAGCAAAGGAAGGGTGTTCTAGGGGTGTGCCCTGGGACTAATGTTTAATGAGGCAGTGAGCTCCCTAGGAAACGCTTCTACAGGTGTCAAACACAACACTTTTCCCCCTTTGATTTCAAAGAATATCCAGTCCTTTGAAACAAAGAGGAACATCATGTCCTCGTGTGAGGGTGCTTCAAAGAGCTGGGTGTTTTTGTTTCTCCTTCAGGTTGCACTAGGTGTAGTAATGAGTCCTGTGTGAAAATATTCAGCTGCTCTGTGCGGCGTCACCGACACACTCTTCATGGCGTTTGAGGACGAATCTGTCTTGTAAGCACCTCCTGTTAGCTTCTCATATTGCTGTTCGTAGCGTCACCAAAAAAAAGCCAGCAGCAAAAATCCCAGCTGAGTTGTGATATTTGGGCCATCACACACTCACTCGCGACCACAGTCTGCAATCAACTTGGCATCTGACATCTCCGTGTCCCTGGAAGCACACGTCAATCCCTAATTTGCCTGGGTCTCTTTGTTGACGTCAAGGTCAAAGAACACGAGTTTCTGTAACAATGGCCTCAGTCACATGGCCATACATTCAAATGGTGTCTTGGTTGACAGGCCACTTTATGGTAATCGACCTAAATATTCCTAAAGCCTTTTTTTTCTTTTTTTTATCTGCAATGTAGATTCAGTGTATATACATTGGATTTTTCTGTGCCACCTGGATGAGATCATTTGATTTTAATCCTAGATTACAGTAAAATCCCTGTGGCGACGAGGCCGCGGAGAAGGCAGTCTCATTATACAGGATCCAAGTGAAAGCATACACGCCCCACAGCATTAGTGTATGTATGGTCATCTTTGAAAGCTGTGTGTTACAGAGTGAATGCCTCTTTGTGAGCGGCTCAATTGCACCGAGGGTCAAAATGTAGATTTGGCCTTGGGTACTGGAGGTTTGCATTCGTTTGTTTATGCTTCCTGGTTGAATGTGTTCAATGCATTTACATCACAGTGGATTTTCTTTTCAAACATTAGTCTGTGTTTATGTTAGTTTGGAAGTTTTCTACCTGTTTAGTTGTATCTTAGGAATAGATTTTAGAATACATGTGTGCGTGTTGACTAAATGACACACAGACCTTACATTTATTCCTGATTGTAATCACTGCTGTCCTAATGCCATGGTTGGTCCCTGCTCCCAGCTGACCAGTGCCCACCAGAGGACCAGAAGATGCCCACAGGGCAGGACTAGTTCCGAGGAGGGGATATAACAGAAAATGTCTCCCGTCCTACACACTTCCCCCACCCCTCTCCCTCAGCCCGCCTCTCCTCAAGGTGCCAGTGATGGCTTGAGAGTGCAGTGCAGTGTGCTGTGATGGACTGAAGTGCCTTTTTTTTTTCTTTCATCTTTATCTTTTTCCATCCCGTGTGATATGAAGTGGTTAAGCAGATTGCGGTGTGACTCTTTTCCTATTATGGCATGGTTTGATTTTGCGGTGGTAACTGGTTTGTGTGTGTGGGTGGGAGATGGTAAAGGAACAAGGGTGTGTGTGTGCGCGCGTGTATGATCTGATTACACCCTTGTCCATGCATGCTTCCATAATTTGTCACGTTAACTTCATGGCTGCCTCTGGTCTCTCACTGATCCTCTTTTCATGGACTGAAGTTGAGTGTGTTGTGGCTTTTTAAATGCAAATTGATATGCAGTCCATGAAAAGATGTTTGTCAGTGAGATGCAGCCCAAAGTCAATGTGGCAATTTGTTGTTACCAAGTCCTTTGGCTACATCCACACAGCAGTGTTTTTGTTAAAGACACTTGAATTCTTAAAAGTTTATAAAAGACTCAATCTAGCGTCTTACAGCCCATTTCCCACTTTAAAATATAAAAAGGCTGCTTTTCAGTTTTTGTTGTTGTTCCCCAAGTGCTGCAACTTCTTATATAAAAACTCCACAAACAGAAATCAGATGTTAAATCTAATTCATATGATCTGGAATGTAATAATATTTTAGTTATTTCACTGACTGTTGCAGCCTCCTGTCAGTGTATGTCACATGTATGTGAATATTTTGGTTTTATTTAGATGTTTTTTGTTTTTGTTTTTTGTCAAATGTAATCTTTGTTTTGTTTTTGTTTTTTTTGTCAAATGTAATCTTGTTGATACAGACTTACATATTTAAATATTCACATTTATAATGCCATAGTATGGGTGTAGCCACTGTCCTGGGTTGTGTGTGTTTGAATTGTCTAATCGGTGTATTATTATAGGTAGAAAGATGGAAGTGTTTTTGTAGTATAAGTATAGAATGAATCGAGAAAGAAAAGAAATGCTTTGCAATTAATTGTTGTCTTTCCTCACAATACACACAATTTTATAAGAAAACTCCCCTCCCATCCTCTCCAGCCCTGTTTTCTATGGTTGAAGAGTCGAGCGTTAACAAAGGAAACATGAGGGGACGTTACTAGAATCCCCAGACTCCACTGCTCCAATCATCTCCATCTGAGAGGCAGCCCATGAGGCTCAGTACAGCCTGGCACTCCTCCACCAGGAGAATCAACTCCCTACCTTCCCTTTTTATCATCACCTGTGATCGTCTGAATGAGATTTACACACCCAAGGGTTGAGAAACGGCAACTTCTGCCCTCCCATTATCTACAGTGTGTGTGTGTCTTTGCATTGAGTGAAGAGCGGCAGCTGTTAAAACACTCTGTCGATGCCTGAGCTTGAAAACCTGCCAGTAACGGCTGACTCTGTCACTCACCCCCATCCCCCTTCCTCCCTCCCATCTACCTTAGAGGCCCTACCTAACAGGTCCTGTAGGTTTTCACCAACTGACACAGACAGAAGGCTGACTCACCTTCACCTCTCGACCTCCCTTTCCTTTCCTTCCTCTGTTTAGTTTTTATTAACAGTGGATCTGTATGAGAGCTCTCAAAGTAAAATCCCTTCAGAGAGTTTATATTTTCAACAAGCCTGCGCTCGGGGAGCAATGTAAACAAAGAGGAGCCAGGCCTTGGGATTACTCTGTTCTTGTGCTACAGCTGCTGCTGCTGCAGCTGCAGTCGTGCTCCTGTCTCACCAGTGTCTTTGTTTGTTCTTTTTGTCTGTATGCAGGTTGACCCAGCCATACGTTTACCCACAGGCCTATGTGCAGCCCAGCCTGATGCTGCCCACTCAGGTTTCCACCTCCGTCAGCACCAGCCCCTACTTGGACTACAGCGCCGCCTACAGCCAGTACGCTCAGGCCGCCTATGAACAGCAGTATCCGTACGCCGCCTCACCAGCGGGCTTCCTGGGCTACAGCTACACCACCAGCCCCTCGGCCTCCACTGGCCCCGCTGCTGCTGCCACAGCCCCGGCCACTGTCCACCCCACCCTCCCTTCTGCTGCTGCCCCGGCCTATCTGCACTACGCCCCGCAACACCACATCCAGCCCGACCGTATGCAGTGAGCCTGAAATGACAGGGAGATGATCATTGTTGGTGTAGAAGATGGAGGAGAAGATGGGGGGTCGGGAGGGATGGGCTTTGTGATCTTTAAAAAGACGATGGTGACACACCCCACAGGGTGGACCGGGCCGTCATCAGCAGGGCC